CATGTTAGCATGAACCCTCTAAAAGCAGTGGTAAGAGCAGTCGGTAGGGAGCGCGGTCTTACCTCGGCTGCTTCTGACGCGGAAGAGACCACAGCCTTCTTCAGCTTGTAGGCCTCCACGACGCCCAACTCGCGCATGTCGGCAATGCCACCGCCAGGGGTGAGCAGGTCCAATCCGGAGCTGGTCATACCGTTATTGATCGCTTGGCGCAGGCGGGTCACAAGGTCGCTGGAGTCCAGACCGGCGTTATCGGCGAGGGTGGTGGGAAGCTGCTTCAAGGCCAACGCGAAAGAGTCGACGGCCAGCTGCTTCTTGCCCGTCGTGTTCTGAGCGGCCTGCTCAACAGCCTTGGCCATGACCATCTCGGCACATCCGCCACCAAGAGTCACACGGGGATCCTTGACAGTCTGGGAAAGAACAGCCAAAGCGTCGTGAAGGGAGCGCTCAGCCTCGTCGAGGAGCTGCTCCGTGGCACCACGGAGCACAATGGTACATGCCTGACCGGCAGCCACGCCCGAGAACTTGATAAGAGTATCCTCGCCGATGATAACCTCCTCAATAACATCGCAGTGACCCAGCTTAACCTGGTCGGGGTGGTCGAAAGTCGAGGCGATCTCACCACCAGTAACCAGGGCCAAGCGCTCCACGCCGTCGAAGTCGGCATGCTCAATAGACATGATACCGGCTTCCGTGAACAGCTGCTCGGGCCAGTTGTAGATGAGCTGCCGGTTGACAAAGCAGTTGATGCCGTGAGCCTTGATCCGCTCAACCTTAGCCTTCATCTTCTCGCGCTCGGCCTTCTCCAGCTCGGCCAGCTTGCCCGTCGATTCGACCTTCACCCGGGCGCCAAAGATCTTCACCTTGTCCGTGTCCATGGCTGTGTTGGCAACCAGAATCTTGGCGTTCTCCAGGCGCTTGGGCTGGTTCACACCGATCTTCTTGTCGAGAATGAAACCTTCATCGAGGTATGAGTCGCTGAGCTTGCCACCGGCCTTCTTGATGATCTGGATGTGGCTCAGGTCGGTCGAGCCGCGGAGGCGGAGAACCGCATCGCAGGCGAGGGTAGCGAAGTGCTCACGGTCTTGGGCCAAAACCTTGGAGCTGAGGGTTGTGCGAGCGATTGCGTGAAGGTCTTTGCGGAACAATTCCTTATCCGTGCTACGATCAACGGCGGCCTTCTCCAAAGCCTCCAAGGCAGCCTTGCTGGCTATCCGGTAACCTTCGATGATAGTCTGAGGGTGGATCTTGCGGTTGACCAGCTTCTCGGCTTCCCGCAGCAGCTCGGCCGCCAACACCGTCACCGATGTCGTACCGTCACCGACTTCATCGTCTTGGACTTTCGAGATGTTAACGAGGACCTTGGCTGCGGCGTTATCGAGGGCAATCGACTTCAGAATCGTGGCACCGTCGTTCGTAACAAGAATATCGCCGGTCGACCTAAATGCACCGATAGAATTAGCCCACTGCTGCTCGCGGTCGGCAACCCCACCATGTTCCCATCAATCATCCCACATACGCTGACTGGAGGATCTTGTCCATTCCCTTAGGACCCAGAGTACTCTTCACAAGGTCACCGACGGCGATAGCACCGACGAAGGCGGAAAGACGAGCATTTTCTCCTTTCTCCTCGATCACATCGTCGGCAAAGATCTGCGTGGGGTTGGCGAAGGACTGCAGGCGGGTCAGCACTGACTATCGATTAAACCGAAACAGAATCTTGTCAGAGTAACGTACCATGATGACTGTAGATATTAAAACAGATGGCTACCGTCAGGGGAAAGGCTGGCAGCTCAGGGGTTGCTTGAGCTAGACGGTGAGGACGCAGAGAACGGCCTACTCTAGCCAATGCGGGACAAACCAGAAAAGTTCGTGATACTGCCCGACCTGACCGCCCGCCCCGTGTGTCGCCGGTCTCCTGTCGACCAGCGCCCTCGTCCACTTTACATCCCCACTCAATTACAGCCTCACTCACTAATACTTCGATTCATAATGCCTGCTGAAGAGGAGCAGAAGCTGGCATCCGCCAAACGTCCCCTATCCGCCGTGGATGGCGGCGATCAGGATGGTACGCCCGCATGATACCTGGAGCATTAGCACACGGTTGCGAAACAAGACATCCTCGGGCTCAGTCAGTTGCTGACACTTTTTCCTAGGTGACGACTCGTCATCCGATGATGACTTCGGTCCAGCTCTTCCCTCTGCCGATGCCCCGAAGAAGAAACGCCGCAAGCTCCCTTTCGAGAAAGTCTACGTGAATGCGCTGCCCTCGTCGCCGCGGTACTCCAAGTCGCTCATGCACAAGGATCAATTGTCCTTCCTCACCGTAACCCCGCACACTGATTTCCTGATCACCTCATCTATCGATGGCGTTGTCAAATTCTGGAAGAAAATGGCCGTGGGCGTGGAGTTTGTGAAGGAGTTCAAGGCGCATTCAACCGAGATCAAGCATGTCAGCGTCAGTGCCGACGGAAGGAGCTTTGCGACGACTGGAGCGGACAAGACTGTCAAGATCTTCGACGTGATCACTTTCGGTATATATATTCTCTACAGCCATGCATCGACTCGACTCAGGCTAACGTTGGTTGCAGATTTATTGGCTATGCTCACTCTCGACTTCAACCCGCGTTGCGTCTGCTGGGTTCATCGCCGGGGCGCCTCATTACCGCTCCTGGCAGTGACCGACGAAGAGAGCAGCATGATTCAAGTCTTCGACGGCCGTGGCGAGAACCCCACCCCATTACATACCGTCAAGTCCATTCATCGCAGCCCCGTGGTCGCTATTGCGTTCAACAACGCGTACGATTGCGTCATCTCCGCCGATGAGTCCGGGATGATCGAGTACTGGCGGGCGGGTGACGGTTCGTTCGAGAAACCCGACAACGTGTTCGAACTGAAATCATCCACCAACCTCTTCGAGTTCAAGAAATCCAAATCCACCCCTGCCTCGCTGTCCATCTCCCCCTCCGGCGAGCAGTTCGCGACGATCTCCTTCCCCGACCGCCAAATCCGCGTCTTCGACTTCGCTTCCGGCAAGCTCTATCGCAAGTACGACGAATCCCTCACCACCATCATGGAGATGCAGCAGGCCGGGACGGCGCTCTACCAGCTCGAAGAGGTGGAGTTCGGCCGGCGACTGGCGGTGGAGCGTGAGCTGGAGAACCCCATCACCAAGCCCAAGGTCAACGTCCTCTTCGACGAGTCGGGCCACTTCATCCTGTACGGCTCCCTGCACGGCGTCAAGTGCATCAACACCTACACCAACCGGGTGGTGCGCGTCTACGCCAAGGACGAGCCGTTCCGGGCGCTCAACCTCGCCGTGTACCAAGGGCAGCCGCAGAAGAAGGGGGTGGTGACGGTCTCGATGGCGGCCAGCGCCAACCCGCTGCTCCAGGAATCCGAAGAACGCGATCCGATCCTCATCAGCACGGGCTACGGCAAACTGCGCTTCTACCTCTTCACCAACGAGTCGGACGTGTCCAAGTCCACGCGCGACGTGCAGAACGAACGGCCGCGCGAGGCCGGCGCCGGCGGCCGCGAGGCCACTGCATCCCAAAAGGCCGAGCTGGGCACGTCGGCGATCCTGCACACCACGATGGGCGACATCCACCTGCGGCTGTACCCGTCGGCGGCGCCCAAGGCGGTCGAGAACTTCACCACCCACGCCCGCGCCGGGTACTACAACAACACGATCTTCCACCGCGTGATCCGCAAGTTCATGATCCAGGGCGGCGACCCGCTCGGCGACGGCACCGGCGGCGAGTCCATCTGGGGTGGCGAGTTCGAGGACGAGTTCTCCAGCCTCAAGCACGACAAGCCCTACACCCTGTCCATGGCCAACGCCGGCCCCAACACCAACGGCAGCCAGTTCTTCATCACCACCGAGAAGACCCCCTGGCTGGACGGCAAGCATACGGTCTTCGGGCGCGCCGTGCAGGGCCTCGACGTCGTGCATAAGATCGAGAACACCAAGACATACAAGGAGAAGCCCGAGCAGGATATCAAGATCGTGAGTATCACGGTGTCGTAAGCGGGAACCGAGAACGAGTAGCGCTGATCCTTTACTTTTTTCTTTTTCTTTCTTTCTCTTCCCCTTCTGCAGGCCTTGCTCTTCTTGGGTCCTGCCTCTGGCTGGGTTCACTGTACATCTAGACATTATATCCGTCATCAGCCATCGGCAGCTTGGTACGAATCACGATCTATCTCTAATCATAGCATGTTATACATATGTTTTGGGTTTTTACTGATTTCTGCATGTGGGCGAGCGCCGGGGTGATTCATCTTTGGATTACTGGCATTCTGCCATCACTAAATTGCGACGGACTACGATAGTATCCTTGGCGCAGTCGGTACATGCGGAGTTCCCATGCCGCCAATGAAACCAACAATTCGTCAATAAAACGAATGATCAGTTTCCCCGATGCCGTAAGACCATAGAAGGGTGCATCTCATACCCCGACGCTGGGTTCGCCATATGTGCAAGAGGAAGAACAGTGGAAGATGACAGAAGAAGAATATATTCGATCGAAAATGACGTGAAGTCAACCGCATGGAAAATGCCTGAACCCGTAAATTATGCACAACATCCGGAACTGGATTCGGGGGGGGGGGATGCGAAAAACGAGAGTAAAGTGATGCTTTGTACTGTGCATTTTGGGAAAACAAAAGAATCACTGGTACTGTACGGCAAATAATCAATACCCTTATAGACAGAATCAGAACGCCGGATATATGCAAAGATCAGCGGGAGGGACATGTCTTTTTTTTTGTCCGTGAAGGGGTAACTGCGTTTGCTATCGATCCATGGCAGATGGGTTGCCAGATGAATGGAAGAGGTAGAAGAAAAGGAGGGGCGAATGGTATGCTGTGTTGCCTTTCAACATTAGATTTGGAAAGCGCGGCAGGTTAGCAGCCGCCAGTTGTTCGGTAGCGACAGCGAAAAGGTTCCCGGGATGACTAATCGTGGACAGTTACTGCAAAACAGGACCTCCGTGAGTCTGCTTTCACCGAGCTACTTCGCGAATTTCGGTGTCACTGTCGGATACGGGTTGCGTCTTCTGCAGACGGGATGACGTGCGCGCTGGTCGGGGCCCGGGGGCATTGGCAGCAGCGGCAGCGGCAGCGGCAGCGACGTTGGTATGTGAACTGCTGGCGATGGATCCCGGATTCTGGGCGGGGTCATACTGAGCGGGCATGAATTGACCCGGCGCGCGTGTATCAGGCCCGGGCGCGGGACCGATCTCTTGCTGGCGGGCGGCCAGCAGAGCGCTGTCTGTGCCACCGGTGGCTGCGGCGTGATACAGACCCGGGTACTTCCGATCATGGCGGCGCTTCGCCCATACGCCCACCACGCTGATGATGCTGAATCCGACGACCAGGATGATGACCATGATCACCCATTTGTAGTGTGTTGACCACCTGCAAAGCGACACGTCAGCAAGGTTGCGCCTACGTCGATGAAGTCCGGTCGCTCCGGGATACCTACCAAGCGTTGGAAGCAGCAGTCCTCCTATACGCGCGGATCTTGGTGACGGATTGAGCGGAATGGGCCTGCCATTTTTCCTCCTCCTTATTTGTGGTGTCAGCGTCGGCGAGTGAGGCGCCGACCGCGCAATAGTTGTTGTACCATGTCTGTATTAACGAGCGATCGGAGGCATTGGTGCAGGTATCGTCGCAGACAGCGTTCGAGGAGGTGTGAAGCTCGGTGAGATTATGTGAATGGCAGAAGCAGGAGGCGTAAGTGGCCGAGTCTGTCTGCGGAGCGGCGGGCGGCAGGCAGTCGGATTGGGCTTGGAGGAGGACGGAGCAGGTTAGGCCGCAGGAGGGAAAGGAGGAAGAGGCAGCGGAAGGTAGGATAGCGACAGTTTGCGCATGGGCGACGGTGGAGGCGAGGAGGGTGAATAGCGAGAGGTATGCGATCAGAGGGAAGGATCGCAAAGGAGCAGCAGCATGACTGGCGGTCCAGGCCTGAGGCCAAGGTGCCATGACGACTGCGTTTTTGGCGGGCTGAAGTGATGGCGGTGGGGACCGTCAGGAATGTTTACTGACGGGTATCAACCATGATATGTCGACAGACTGGATCAAGCGAGAGGGCTGAACAGGTGGAACGAATGACGAGAGAAGCTCCAGGAAAACACCGGAGGGACGGGGCGTTGTGTCTTTCGATTTACTTGAGACCCCCGAAGCTAGATGGCGAGAGAATGGGGGGAGGGAGGAGGAGGAGGAGGAGGAGGAGGGAGGTAGGGAGGGGCGGAGAGGGGAGGGAAAGGGAGAGAATAGTAGAAAAGAGAATTGTCAGTCGGAGGAAAGCAAGATAGCCAAGAGAACGAGAGGGAGAGAAAGACAGAGAGAGAGAGAGGAGGAGGAGGAGGAGGGGAGGGGGGGGAGGAAGGAGAGAAAGCCTGTTCCGGGGCGGGATGATGTTGGTGGTGAGGATGATGATAATGATGATGAATGAGATTGAGTGGCTTGAAGAGGGAGAGTGAGAGAATGAATGGGCAGTGCAGGCAGTGCAGGCAGTGAAAGGGGAGTTGCGCGGCCTGGAATGACTATCGCCCAGTTGGGCGTAGTCTCTGGTAGTTTCACTGTGTATTTTGCCTGTCTGGACCCTGAAGCGACCTTGGCAACTCTCTCTCGCTCTCTCTCTCTCTCTCTGCTGACCCAGTCATGCTCGCTCTCTTTTTCTCTCTTTCTCTTCTTGTTCGTGTGAATGGGCTTCTACCGGATCTTACAGACACTATCAACCGAACTATCCTCCCCTGTTCTCATCATCAGCTCCATCCCTCCCTCTTCCCCCCCCCCTCCCCCCTCACCGGCCATCCCCGATCGTACTTTCTATCAAGCAAAGCCCTGTCAGATTGACCTGTGGTACTCCGTACTAAGTAAAAATATGCAGGCCACTATGCCCAATAACCTCGTTCCTGGGCTCCACCCAGGCCACTGGGCTCCTCTTTCATGATGCAATCCGGTGGATGCTGTCCCCATCGCTGGTTCCCCAGAATGCTGCAGGAAATCCCCACTACGTATGGGAGTGGGAGTGAATGGCTTCCTGGCACATGAAGTCATTGTTACCATATTGCCCGCCGTGTTCACCATGCAAACTGCTCAGTTTAGAATAGTTTAACCGAGTTAGCATTGTCGATCGCATCTCGTGTTGATCCAAATCGATTGAACCTTGATTTAGCCTGCCCAGGATCCATGGATCAGCCTAGAATCCATCCCGATCTCATTCCAGGGCCAGGGGCTTGGATCATTCCACCCCCCGGGAATGTGTCAACCACGCCGACTCACATTCATTAAACCAAAATGAATTGTCACTTGCATCGATACTTGAGGAATCGCGCGCCGTGGCCTGACTCAAAATCATCAAAACTTCCTCAAGGATGAACGGTGCGGCGGTTTGCCGAAGCAGACTTAGTCGCCCCTTTCGCGGTTCCAGTGGGCTGTCAAAGCAAGGGATCGAATCTATTTTCAGCACACTTTGCCCGATCGGAAACTTCATGTCTTGAAGTCCCTCTCCTTGCAAAGTGCACCTGAGGTCGGAACCCTTGTCTGTGCACTTCCAAGCGATGTCCAGCCCTATTCCTGGAGCACTGGCTCATAGACCTCTGGATTCGGGATACTCAGCAGTTCGTACAAGGCCATGCCAGACATGCAAGACACTAGCTACGGGCAAAGAACACGTTTACTCCGGACGTAATCAAGATGATGATTTAGCACCCGTGCCCTGATCCTCCTAGTTGGGACAGTCAACAATGCAGAATGAGTCTCTTTCACTGCTTACTTGTTTGTGGGAGCACTGCCCAGTGCCCCGATCGAAGATCCAAGTTGAATGTCAAGCTACACTAACAACACTCGATGAAGTCTTGCAAGTTCTATCTTGTCTGAAGAAGAACCAGGTAAAGACTGCGCCGCAGGGTTCAACAGTGACATCGCGTCTCTCGGCCCTCAAGGACCACCAACTGGTGAAGCCTATCTCAAGTGACACTGGCGTGAACCTCAGGTGAACCTCTTATTGTGATTCAATGCGACCATCAACAAGCCACCCACCTGCTCAATCTTCTAGAGACTCACTAACCTAAGATGCTTTCTTTACTCGCATCGGTAACAGACAGCCCATCAATCTTCAAAACCTCCTCGCATGCCTTTACACCGTCGTATCGCTCCGCAGCCACCCATCCCTGAGATCCAACACCCAGTACCTCCCTCGACAATCGCTTTTGCTCATCCAACTCCACCTGCGCAGTGCTCAACTGCAGGCACTCATTCACCTCGTCTTGACTATACGCGATCGGGCAGGCTGCGGCGTCCGCATCTTCCGATCGTACAAGCCGATCCCAATTCATCGTCAGCTGAATCAAATCTGCCTTGAGGGTGACATTATCCCCATCCCAGGGAACAGCCGCCTGGTGGCACAACCTCCGCCGTAATACCCCCAAGTCCCCGGTCAGGGCGGCCTGATGGGATGGGTTGAGCTTCGCCGTCGCCATGAGATAGCAGTAATGCAGCCAGCGGCTTCGGAAGAGCTCTCGCTCGCAGCGTTGGTCAGCTTCGCTCAGCCTGTCGAACCCATCCGGCAATCGTGGCTCTTGCAGTAGGCTGGGGATATCGCCATCCGCGCTTTGAAAATTGGTCGGGACCCCACATTGCAGGAACAGTGGCCGGATAGTGCTATACTGCCAATCGATCAGGCCCGTAATCTCCAGGTCCTCGTTGACGAATATGTTACTGGGTTGCAGGTCCGGATGCCGGATTGTGGGTCGTGTCAGAGACGTGTCGCTCGGAATCAAGTACGGCGCAACCTGAAGGTAGTCGGTCAAATTGTTGATATGGTCCCTGGGCGACTGCTTGTATGACCGATTTGCGGGGAGATGCTTCGATGCTCGCACGGGCTGACCATATTCCTCGAGATATACAATCTCCTTCCTAGCCCCGGCAGCCAGAACATCGACAGGGCTCGTATCTATCCCAATCAGTATCGGCTTGCTCATCCATTCCGTCAGGCGAAGAGAAGGTTGACCGAAGTCTTACATGGACCACGATGCACCGGCAGGATCCGGCGTTTCCCCAACCAAAGCCCCCGAGTCACTTCGGGCCCCATGCAAAACCGACCCTCCCTCACGGCACCCGCCTCATCCGCAACCCGCACCGTCTCCATGCACTGCAGGTCCCGCTCGAAGAAGAGACTCCCGCTCGCCGGGAAATCGAGCGCAAACAGCCTCGCCTCCAGCGCCACGATCCGTTCCACCACCCCCGCCAGCTCCTGCTCCGACAGATCGAACCAGCGATCCGTGAGGCGCCGCCCCGCCGCGCACTCCATGAAGATATACTCCGTGCCCACGGCATTGTCCGCGGTGGCCGAGTATCCGTAGATGCGGGGCACGGGAAACCCCCGCCGACGTAGGTATTCGATGGTGGCCACCTCGCTCGCGACCAGGAGGTACTTGGGCTCGGTGACGGGGTAGGGGATGCGGGCGACGAGCTGGAAGCCGTCGCGCATGGTGACCAGGAAGGTGCGGTTGAAGCCGCCCTCGCCGAGTTTCTGGAGGCTGGCGACCTCGGTGGCGGGCGCGTTGATCGCGGCGGCGGCCAGGCGTTTGAGTTCCGCGACGTGGAACGGGCGTCTGCGTTGAGATTTGCGGAGATGCTCGTCGTGGCTGGGGAGGAGGTCAGTTCTGCACGGTGCGCGGTGGGGAATCAAGATCTGCTACAGACATCCATCGTCCTGACGTGTAGTTGAACAAATCTGAAGTAGAGGAAGAACTGTGGTCTTGCTGTGACCGTCTTGTGGTGGAGTTGAGACTCCTGGTCTGCCGGTTGGAAGCATGCGGCCCCTTAAGCCGCGGCCATAGTGGGCGTCTGACCTCGGCCAGGAACAGCTTCATGATGCCCGGAAAGGGGGCCTTTCATTGTCTGTTTGACTAGTTAGGCAGTGAGTGCACGAGTAGAAGAACAGATGAAGTTTTCTCTGGGTTCAGTGAAGAGGGAGGAAGGGAGGAGAGGGGGCCATCTCGGAGGAAGAAGGTCGTCCCTTTGGTCCGATGCAGGAATCGTCCCATCCCCAAGTGCCGAGGCGCGCTAATGCAGTCGGGGAGGAAATGAGATTCGTCGATCGTCCAGTTCCTTGTGCACCACACGGGAAATCATGGCTCTGTTGCACGGTTGCATGGAAGTGGGGTTGGAGGTTGGACAGGACAGGTCTATGCTTCTTCCGACTCCTACGGTACATGTACATGGCCATTCTGCTACAAAAGCATAGCGGTACTGTACAGCAAAACTGGCTTCAATCTGTTGGAGGCCCCAGCTTTTGATGCTATTCAGTGACTGAGTCTTCGTACTGCAACCTCTCATGAAATGATTCTCATAGCTCGATAACTAAAAAGAAGTATGGGGCCAGGTGCAAGATCAGCTCCAAGTCAGAGCCAACCGAACCCTAACTGCGCTTGTTGAGAGTGTGCCAGGACAAATAAAAGCCGACAGAGGCTAGATGGTCTCTTCATATAACATGAGCGTAGGAGGAGCTCAATGAATCCCTTATGCTAACATTGATGATTCACAGAAGGCCATTCATAGCCTGGTTTCATTATCGGCTCAAAGTGGGATGGATACATGGGCGGTGGTTGATCCGTATTGAACAATCTTTCAAGATACATCTGGTCTTGGTGCTCAAACACGGCAATAGACTCGAAACGTATTACGAGTCGAACGTAGTCACAGCACACATTGGCACACTGGCTACATGCTCATGGCATTCACCACGGACTCTGGCAGGCATAGGTCGGCCCGCCCTCCACACCGAAGACGGCGACGCGGCTCACGGTGAAGTCCGTTTGCCACTCGTGCACACTCGCAGTTCTGTCATCCTTCCTCGTTAACTCCTCATACCCACCTGAGAGCGCGCCTGCAGCGTGGACCGTGCCTCGCAGGAAGGTAGCCTGTCCTGTGCTCGCGTCAATTTCGACGGCCACCCGCGATCCACCGGGGTCCCCGAGGCAGTTCCGGTGCTCGGTATGCCCGGTCGCACTGCCATCTTCGTCTTCGGGCGAGAGAGGCCTGCTGCTGCGTCCTCCAGCCCAGCGAAACAGGCTGAACTGTGGCTGAAGCTGGAAGAGAAGGTATGGATGGGCGACGGTCGATCTGCCTCTCTCCGGCGGCGCCTTGTCGTCGGTGGTGGGAGCATCGCGGAAGAATGCACCCACCACCACCTTGTCCGAGTCTTGCGCGTGATTCCCCAGAAGCAAAATGAGATACGCGCGACCGGTCGGACTGTTGTGTGTGGCTTGCTGGAGGATATGCCGCAGGTCGAGGTTGTCGGTCGGGTCCCGGAATCGCGCATCATAGCAGTTGTGAAAGGCAATCAGCTTCACTCTGCGTGCCAGTTCTGACCGCTGGTGGGTCTGGAATGGCGGGATGAACAGTGATACCGCATGTAGGATCGCGTCCATGGTGTCGAGGGAGGATGCGGGCTCGAGATTCGGTCGCTCCGTGGACGGGCCGGGTTGGAAAAGCGTGGCCCACAGCTGATGGAACGATTGTTCGAGATTGGGCTGGTTTCGGCGTCAGGGTCGGATGTACAAGTCTAAAAGAGACACAGAAATGATTGGGACTCAACTTACCAGGATGTCCAAAGCGCGGAGAACCATCTCGGGAGCCAGATACTCGTCCTGGTCGCGACTGAACGATCGGACCAGGATCCCTACCAGCTCCTCCGTGTCCGCGCTGGGCTCCTCTAGGAGGCCGTAATGGCAGTTTTGGTCATAAGTCGTTCCAGAGACTCTGAGCCTCATGATCAAGGACAGCAAAGCCGCGAAGTCCCCGGCCCTGATCGCATATTGGCCCGTTCGGCCCCCGAGGAGGTTTTGCGTTAGCGGCTGCACCTGCTCCAGCGACGGATACAGTTTGGGATGGAACGGGAAGGTAGCAAGAATCGCATTGATCATGTCGTCGGTTACGAAGGTGTCGAAGCCGTCGCATTGCGGACCAGCGCTTGACGCGCGATCGACCCGGCTGATGCTCCGGAAAATGCGATTCATCCGGCGCCCGCAGTTACACGGCTCGTCCAGCCGGCCCCAGCAGCGGCCGAAGTCATCGTGTACAGTCCCGAAAAGCCGGGTGCCCTGCCGCGACAGCAGGAGCAGACCACGGTCGAAGGCGGGCAGCTCCACCTTGCGGTCGTCTGCCGCAGAGAAGGGGAAGGGATGGAAGGCGTAGAAGCAGAAGCAGGACCAGAGGACTTCGATAGCCGTGTCGGGGATGATTATGTCGGGATGGGTTCTGGCGAGGTGGGCTTGGAAACTTTTTTCTGACCAGTCTGCGACAGTAGTGCATCAGCCTCTGCTGCGCTCTCGCGCGGCCAAGTAGCACTTACACGGCTGCTCATGGGTCGAGTCTTGGATGCTAGACGCGTCGAAGATGCGTTCCAGTGGGATTGAAGTGACTATTTCTTGAACGAGGCTGATGTGTAGCTCGGATGAAAGCGAATCTAAACGTAAATGATTAGCAACGATGGATGGATGGATTGATATTGATTGGCTGACCCCGTGTGGTAGTGCGAAGGAAGTGTGCGATTTTCTTCTTCTTGTCTCGGAAGAGGATGTAGAACGCTGCCTTGTCCAACAGGGCGGTCATGACTGGTGGGTGTTCCACACAACGTGATTTGTACATTTGTAGAAGGATGCTGGTGACAGGTTGTGGTAGGTTTCCTACTAGGGACCGTGCACAGCCCTGTCACTGTCCTTGGCTCGCATGGCCTGTCGGAGTGCTTATTTATTGTGCCAAGAGATGCCGTGCCGTGATAACTGTGTAAGCACTACCGTTAGTTGATCTAAAGCAAGGCCTAAACTCGCAACAAGTGCTGGCTCGGTCAACTCTGACAACGGAGACGTATCTTGCCCCTTAACGACTCTCCGCAAGTTCCAAGTCCAATGCACGCAAGACTACCTTCTTCCCTGGAGGAAGAAGAGCCAGACGAGGAGAGCATCTGGACCCCCCTCCAGCTAGCCGCCGCACAAGGCAATCTCCCCCAAGTGAAGAATCTCTTGAGTCAATCCTCCAGCAACCCCAACGAGCCCGCCCGCGGCTACTACGGCCAAACCGCACTCCAAGCGGCTTCAGTCAACGGACATCTTGATGTAGTCCAGACGCTCCTAGCCGCCGGGTCGGAAGTGGATGCTCCCGGCGGCAACAACGGCGGCCGCACCGCGCTGGCCCTAGCCGCAGGCGCCGGCCACTTCCCCGTCGTCCGCCATCTGGTCGTTGCCGCAGGCGCGGACATTAGCCGCCCTCCGCACAAATACATGGGGCGCACCGCCGTGCAGGCCGCAGCGGAAGGCGGCCATCTCGACATCGTACGATGGCTGTTGCATGAAAGTAAACAGCAGCCCGGCGCGGTGATCAACGCGCCCCCGGCTAGCAACCGGGGCCGGACCGCACTGCAGGCCGCGTCGCTGGGCGGCTATGACGAGATGGTGGAGTTCCTGCTCCATGCCGGTGCGGATGTGAATGCATCCGCCTCGAGATATCATGGCTTCACGGCGCTCCAGGGCGCGGCCTTCGTCGGTCACCGAACCACCGTCCGTCGACTGTTGGCGGCTGGCGCGGATGTGGACGCCCCCGGCGCCCGCTACAACGGCTACACGGCGCTGGCGGCAGCGGCAGAAGGCGGCCACGCGGGCATTGTGCGACTCTTGCTGGACGCCGGCGCGGATGTGGCCATAGTATCTGGGAATAAGAATTGGACAGCGTTGCGGTTTGCGGTCTCGCGGGGGCAGAAAGAGATTGTGCAGCTTTTAAGTAGATAACCATGTAGAATGCAGGTTGCTCACTGGAGATAGACTTTGGACAATTTCCATGCAGCACAGTGGATGCAGTCAAGTAGTGGGATAGATGCGCGCTCAGTTGGAGGTCTGGATTGGCAGTAAGTATATCAGAAGGCAGCCCTTATTCCAATGGAGACCTCGATTCCTGATTGTCATTAGTATGATTGGTGCTGCTGAAGGTGGCTAACTCTAATGCGGCGAGTGAGGCGAGAATCCTGGGCACGACAACAGCAGTGGCATCCGCAACTCGCAGAATGGCAGGTCGAGTATATACACAGGTTGATATTTGAGATATCGGCGGCAGACTGCAGGTGGTGATGCGAAAGACATGAGAGGGCAAAGCACGGAGATTAGTCTGGTCTCTACTCCCTATGTTCCGCGGTTGAAACGGTTGGATACTACTTTAGGGTCAACCACCTGCTGCTGACTTCAGTAGGGCATCTCACGATGAAAGAGACTTCGATTGACTGTACAATGTTTTCGTGGCGTGACGAAACCCCCGCGATTCTCGGGAAAAGCGGAGAAGCCGGACGTCACCGCGCAGGTGTACATACCAGGGGCACATCGGCCAAATCAGCCGAGCCAGTCATTCATCCACCCACTTATACTCGAGCCTATAATAAGCATAAACAACCATACCTTCTCCCCCCTCCACCAAACCCAACATATCCTTCAATCACTCCATCATAACCAAGCTATCAAGAAAAAAAGACTGAAAATGCCCCAAATAATCCCCTACCCCATCCCCCCAACCCCCCGAATCCCCAACTCTCCCAAGCCCCTCCTCCTCTACAAGAAATGCTTCCTCGACGCAGCCACCGGCACCGTCAACGCCCAACTCGCCTACGACACCTTCCGCCAGAACCACTGGACCCCGCGCTGGATCACCACCTACGGCCACGCCCAACGCTCCCACTACCACCCCCACACCCACGAAGTCATGGTCGTGCTGTCCGGCCCCGGCCGCATCCGCTGGGGCACCGCCGACCTTGCCGACGACCCGGCCAAACACACCTACGGCGTACCGGGCACGGACTTTGAGGACGGAAGCACGTTTGTGGACGTCGAGGCGGGGGATCTCTTTGTCATTCCGGCGGGCGTGGCGCATAAATCTTATGATGTGGCTGCCGCAAGTGAGGACCCGGTGGCGTTGACGGGGGGTGGGGCGCAGAGGATCGAGGCGGGGGATGAGAGGGCATTTGTGGGGGAGTTGCAGGCCACGGGGAAAATCGGGGGGTTCACGATGATGGGAGCGTATCCCGGGGAGGCGACCTGGTCGTGGGCGGAGGGAGGGGAGCATGTGGGACGGTTTGAGGAGGTATGGGGGGTGGAGAATGCGGTGCTGGATCCGGTGTTGGGGGGGGAGGGAGGGATTCATGCTTATTGGGGGAAGGAGAAGGGGAAGGGGAAGGGGGTGAAAGCAGTGCTTTGAGGGATAGGCCACTGCATGCACAGCCGGGACTGTATTGCGTATGTATCCATGCATGCATGTTACTTCTCGGCTTTCTTGAATCTATCCAGCAAACTATCATCTCTGCGAATGCAAACTGTATTGTTCAGAAACCCATCATCTAAAAAAGAAACGGAACAAATCAATCATCACCACATGACAATCATAATTATGTCTATTCACCGCAATCCAAACCCCTCCCATCCCCCCTCAATACACTCCCTCAAATACTGCTGATACTTGGGCAACCCTCCCATATACCCCAGCGCCTCCCGCTTCTTCCCCGGCACATTACCCCCCATATACCACGTTGTCTCATTACTCCCCATGAGGGTACGTGCACACGCCACCTCCGTGACCCTACCCCACCGCTCCTCCATCTCCGGCTTCACATCCACCGTCACATACCCACGCTCCCGCATATACACCATCGTCGCCAGAATCCACTCCGCCTGAATCTCCGAGATCAGGGGCCCGTTCGCAAACGCCGTGGGACTCTGCGGCCCGTACTGGAAAAAGAGATTGGGGAAGCCAGCCGTCACCATTCCGAGATGCGTGCGCGTGCGGATGCGCCACTCCGCCGCCAGGTCTTGGGCAGTATCAATTCCAGAAATCCTGAGCCGGGTGAAGCCGCCGGTGACGGCGTCGAAGCCCGTGGCTAGAACCAAAGCGTCGAGGGCGATGGTCGTGCCGTCGGCGAGTTGGATCCCTGTAGGAATTACCCTTGCAATTGGGTTCTGTTTCAAAGGGACGAGGGTGACGTTGTCCTGGTTGAAGACCTCGTAGAAGCGCTGCTCGAGGGAGGGGCGTTTTGTGCCAAAGGCGAAAGGAGGGTGCGTGGGGGCAAGGTGCTCCACCAGCTCTTGGGCGCACGTCAGTCGCGCGCGGGTCTTGTCGCGCCAGAAGTCGTAGAAGAAGGTGTTGGCGTCCAGGCTGGTCATCATGTCCTGGTAGTTGCCATGGGCGGGCGCGAAGCCCCCCTTGGCCCAGAGGCGCTCGTACAGCTCCAGCCGCTGCGCAGGGTTGTCGTCCGCGGCGTTGCGGGGGGTCGGGGGATCGTCCGACCCCGTGAGGGAGAGGCGCATGTTCGCGAACAGCTTAGGGTAGGAGGTCTTATCCGTCGTCCCTTTCTTCCCCATGCTCAGCTGGGGACTGGACTGTAGCTGCTGCTGCTGCTGCTGCCGCATCGGCAACGCACAGTTCGGCGAGCGCTGCAAGACAACCAACTCCCCAACTTTAGGCCCTAACTCCTGAATCACCTGCACGCCTGTCGCCCCCGTCCCCATCACCGCGACTCTCTTCCCCTGCAGATCCACCTCCTGGTCCGGCCAATCCGCCGTATGACACATGAACCCCCGAAAATCCTCCAACCCGTCCAACACGGGGATATACTTCTTAGCCGCGAACCCCATCGACAAGATCAAGAACTGGCACTCCACGCAGTGGCCCTGATTTGTCTGCACCCGCCAAACCTGGGTGGCATCATCCCACCGCGCATCGGTCACCCGCGTCCCGAACTCGATGTCCCGGCTGAGATCCCACTTCTGATCCACAAAGGCGAAGTATCGCAGGATCTCCGCCTGGCCCGGGTACCGCTCGGACCACTCCCACTCGTTGTAGAGCTCGGGGTCCGAGAATTCGTAGAAGGGGGTCTTGGTGTCGACGCGTGCGCCGGGGTACCGGTTATGGTACCATACCCCGCCGAGGCCGGCGCCCTCTTCGAAGACCCGCGTATGGAAGTGGAGTTTGCGGAGCTGGTGGAGGAGGTTGCAGCCGCCGAAGCCGGCGCCGACGACGATGGCGTCGTAGTATTCGGCGGTGGGAGAGTAGGAACCCATTTCCTGCTCTTGTAGTTTTGTTAGTGGGGAAAAGAGATGATGAGGAGAGTTAGGGTCGTTGAGTTAGTGAGTGATTAAGGTTCGTTGGGGTTAAATGGTTCTGTGTTTGTTTTATGATATCGATGCTTGACCATTTATATACTATACCCCTGTATAGAGCTCTATAGGAGCTGTAGAGCCCCTCGTTGATCTGAGCGAGCATTGCTCTTTGGTGAAGGTGGTATACTCTTTCCCCCCTCCCCGGGCGATTCATTGCGGGTGGACCTCCGGGCCAAGCCTCACACCCCTAAGATAGAGAGGCCCCGGGGGAATGGGCCTACGGCCGATTTGGCCGAAAAAGACACTCCATTGGATGCAGCTGCGGCCCACAGGTGGGGATCTCGGATCGGAGATGGGGACCGGAATGAGGGAATAAGTCAAAGAAGTGGCTTGATGACACTGTAGGTATGTATGCACTGTACATACTGTACTGCGGGCGGAATATAGACGAGAAGTAACATTGGGAAGAAGAGCTGTCTGTGGTTGCATCATGCTTGAGAACAAAAGGAAATCTATTAGGTCGGCGCTTTCAATTGCCAGCTATCTCAGTCAAACCGGAAAACGGCCACGCCAGACTATTCACATCCAACGAATTCGCCAACTCCAGCAACTGATCGGGGCTCAGCTCGTAATGCTGCGCGAACTCATCCACCACGTCTAGTTCCAATCCCGGCGGCGCCGCATACCCCTCTGGATCATCAACTGGCGGGACAGCGTCTACCACCGAATCCCCCTCCTGCTCTGCCGGCGGCGGATACATGCCATTTCCAGGCACGGCCATAGCCAAATGACCACCCTTCATCAGGTGGCCCAGTTCGGTGTCGAGCTGCTTCAGCTCCGCCCCGACAAGCTTGGCCGCTAGATTCCCCCGCCGGTGCATCGCGTCCAAGATGGCGTAGGCGCGCTGCGACCAGGGGGTGTGGTCTGGCAGGAGCGACGGGTCGATGGCCGCGGCCATGATGAGGGGCATCGTGGAGATGGAGGTGGCATCCATGTCGAAGGGGAGGAAGGTATCTTTCGTGGCCGAGAGTCAGCGAGTGGAAAATGGTCACTAGCCAGATGCAAGGAAGAAGATATACCTAGGAGTCCCTGCTCCAGGAGATTGGAGAGAATTCTGAGGATCTGCTGGGCGGATTCCAGGCAGATATGCAGGAGGGAGTGGACGGTCCCGGTCTTCAGCCAGTCCAGGAGAGATGGGTCGGAGTGGCCGAGCTTGGATTGGAGGAAGATGTAAAGCAGAGGTCTCGTGGTGAGGATTATGCACTGTTCGCATGAGCTTTGCGGTATGAAGAGGCAAGAAATGCCATATACGATAAGCTGACTGGGAGGAACGATGCACGGACTATGATTACCCTACCTGATGCTCTAGCAGATGCAGATGCGCAGAGATCCGTGAGATGCCGCTTATTTCGCCGTTCGCGTACAAATCAAACGACCGGTTCATTTGTTCGGTGACTTTGGCGATGTCGCGGAGAACGGACTGGGTGGCGCTTAGGTAGCGGCTATCTAACTTCCCTTCGCTGCCATAGACAGCTAGCAGCCCCCAGAGTTAGCACAGAGGACTATGATAGAGAGAAAGTACCACACCCACTCAAATCCACTTTGGCTAGAATCTGGCAGATCATCGTCTGCATCTCTAGTACATTCGCACCCTGGATCTGCCCTGAGATCGACGGGAACGACGCACTGATGCTCTCTTCTGAGATACCCATTGGCACACCCAGCAGGGAGGACATTCGACGCTCGAGGGCATAGACCGTCCACCATACCAGACTGCAGCGCTCGACGTATGCTCCGTCGAGATAAGACCCGCGCATGCCAGTGTACATGCCGTGCTCAAGGGCCCAGCGAAGGGCGGTTCCAATCTAGACTGTCAGTATCTAAGGAAGCTTACCACTAGGTGGAATGAGGAGGGGAGAAAGGAGAGAAGTATTGCTGCTCACCATGCGGTAGGCGGGCCCACGCCGGTGCACACACTGAAGATAAAGCGACGCGCAACATAGAACTTGCGCCATCTCGATCGGATCCCCGTCGAAGACGTTCAAGTCCGGCATGCACTGCATCGCCTGGACGAAGTGCTCTGCACCTGGGGGGGTCTGCGACCTGGTGCTCTGAACCACAAAGCTTTTCCCAAAAGCCAGAAGCAGCAAGTAATGCGAGAACCACAACGGTGACGCCTGAGCTTGCTCTGCGGGACTTCGCTGGAACACATCCAGCTGCTGCATGAAGCGTTCTTCGTCGAAGAGATAGAATAGCTGCCCGCAGTGAAACTTCACAGAGTTGATCAGATATTTGGCGAAATCCGGCGAGGGCAGGTGGGAGACATCGAATATATCTTTCGCATTGTGAGACCTAACACCATCCCAATTGAGGCGATATACATGGTTGTCGAACAGCAGGGTTTCCGGATCTGGCGACAATGGGGAGCCGGTGAGTCGCTCGTGCGTCATTCCTAAGACTCGCCGGCTGAAGGCCCAGGTGGAAGATGTGCCCATGAAAACTAAACAGGGTTAATCAAGGTCGTCATTGGTGAAGTCTACAATATTCACAAAGACCCACCTGGTCGACCCGTAGGACCAGGGACCCAGTCCATTATGTGAAAAGCGAGGGGGTTCGTGAGAGGGGTTGTAGCCTCCATCCTCGCGTACAATTCTGCCGCTGGACCAGGAACAACATTTTGTGACGGTAAGCGTTGCCTTCGCCTACTATGTGATGGTGGTGATGATTGCAAATCTGGTAATGCTGTATCCTCAGCTACGGGATGTCGGTCTATGATAGCAGTATCTGCATGATGGCTAGAGTCCTCGGGCGTCGGTGTAGGAGGGGAAAGGAGGTTAGCCTTATGTTGGAAGGCAGCTAGTCGGTCATGGAGATCACTGAGATATCTGTATCCATGGAGAATTGGTCAGGTCACTGGCTGAGCCAGATAAAGGCCCTTTCACTTGCCTTCGAGTGACTAGAATCTTTTCTGAGGGGCTATCGAAATCACACGCCAAAGCGCGTTTCTGGCATTGATCGCAGGGATGCGAGCCCGTGCATCTGATCTTCTGATCCCGACATCTCCGGCAGCTAACTTTTAGTCAGTCGACGTTGGAATCTGTCTATGAAAGATAAGACACACGCTTTGCTCACCCGCCTTGTTGTCTTTAGCGAGCGTCTGGCAGGAGTGCCCCGAGGCGGCATGTTGGTGGTCCAGTCAGGGAGACAGTGGAGTATGCGTTGCAAATGGGGACCTGCACGGGCTCCAGTGGGGAGTGAATAGAGTACGAGCCACAAGTGTCGGGACAAGTGGCCGTAGCCTGCATTTATACTTGCTCTCTTTCAATCTTATCGCTTATCCGGACACGCCTGCCTAGTCTGACGGGTGAGGGGTCGATACCAAGTTGAACTAGGGCTACGCTAATAGTAGACCTAACCTGACTGCATTAATCTTTGGGTTCTATACGTCAACTCCCATTCCTTTTATACTTTGTACGTAATACCCCGTACTTTCCCCGCATCTTCTGTATTCTTGGCTCAGGGCTTTACATTCCCCGGCATCAACTACAAATGGGATGCCGTGCATTTGATTCCGCTAAAGGCATGAGCGCCCGCTTCGTACCCTCGAATCGTGACTGCAAGATAAAAGGCATGCTCTACTTGCCACATATCGGGGACAGATAAGCCCTTCCGGACCGCTAGAATGAGCACTGCCTTCGGCTATATAAACCGTTCCTTAGTGCGCGTAACATCCTCTCCCACCATGTCAGGATTATCTTGTTCTAAAGACTCCAGTATCTCATGACCAAAGTATCAAGATGTCAGACATCCAATCTGTAACACCTACAACAACGGACAAGTCGAAAGCCCAGCCTCCTGCTCCTATCGCGGAAGATGCAGTTTTTGGAGAGATCATCGAGGATGGCCCAAACTACAGAAATGTAAGAGTTTGGCGTTCATTCAATATCACAGATACCTCACTGACCAAGCAAGGTGGGATGGCTCGGAACTGTTGCTCTTATGATCAAGACCCAGTTCGGTCTCGGGGTTCTGGGCATCCCCCAGGTCTACGACACTCTGGGCCTCATCCCTGGGGTCATATGTGTCGGTGCGATAGCGATTATTACAACGTGGTCGGACTATGTTATCGGCACGTTCAAACTTCGCCATCCCGAGGTCTACGCCATTGACGATGTAGGGGAGTTGATCTTTGGTCGCCTCGGGCGTGAGGTTCTCGGTGTCGGAGTGTGTATCTGTACGATCCCATTTCTCTGCTTATTGCATTGTCTCAAGCTAATACAATGAAAGACTGGATCTTCTGCACGGGCTCCGGGCTACTAAGCACATCTATTGGTCTCAATGCGGTCTCAGCTCACGGCAGCTGCACGGCGGTGTTTGTTGCAGTGTCTGCTGTTGTTGCGTACTGTTTGGCAAGTATACGGACGCTAGGAAAGATCAAATGGACCGCATGGGCAGGGGTAGGGAGTATTCTTACTGCCGGTCAGGCAATTTCCCGTCCTGACTCGGCGACTATCTGCTAACTCTAAGACCCTCTATAGTCCTGATGGTCACAATTGCAGTTGCAGTCCAAGACAGACCCTCGACGGCTCCTCAGACCGGCGAGTGGAAGTCAGACTACAAGCTTGTCGGCCGTCCAACTTTTGTCCAAGCCATAACTGCCGTTTCTTCCATTGTGTATGCATTTGCCGGAACTCCTGGTATGTGTAGCTGATATTATATGCACATTCCTTTCACCTGGACAATGTCAGGCGAACAATCCAAATGCTCACGGCGAACTACTCAGGATTCTTCCCCATTGCCGCAGAGATGCGCAACCCCTCCCTCTACACCAGAGCTCTCCTGATCTGCCAAACCGTTGTGACGGCGACTTACATCTCGATCGGAACGGTGATCTACTATTTCTGCGGCTCATATGTCGCATCGCCCGCCCTGGGATCTGCCGGGACCCTAATTAAGAAAGTCTCTTACGGCATCGCTCTGCCCGGCTTGATCGCCAGTACCATCATTGTCTGCCACGTAAGCACCCAATGCATACATCATGCACCTCTGTGCCACATCTAATGCCTTCAACCCGCATCTCCAGTTCGCCAGCAAATACCTCTTCGTCCGCATCCTCCGAGGCTCCGCCCATCTAACCGCAAACACATTCACCCACTGGGCCACCTGGCTCAGCTGTACGCTAGCCGTCACGGTCTCCTCATACCTCATCGCCAGTGGGATACCCCTCTTCAGTGACCTGGTGTCTTTGATAGGTGCTCTTCTCGGGACGTTCATGTCCTTCCAGCCTATGGGGTGCATGTGGCTATATGACAATTGGAGACGGGGCCGCGAGCAGCCAACCCTCCGATGGGCGCTGTTGTCCATGTGGAGCATGCTGGTGATTGTGTTAGGGACGTTTCTGATGGTTGCGGGCACGTACGGATCGATTGAGAATATCATCGCGACCTCTAGGCAGAAAGAGTCGGGAGGTTCGGCTTGGTCGTGTGCTGATAACTCGAGCTCTTGAGATTTTCTGTCATGTCAATTCAAGTTGCGGTACTCTGAGGCAAGGAACCATACCATACTCTTTCCATAAGGTCTTTGCAAATACGGGCTGTTTGTCAAATATGATTCCAGTTTAGACAAAGTAATATTTGCAATGAGAGGAACAGTATGTGCAGAAATGACCCCAGCCCTACACATGCCCTCGTGAGATCTATCACAGAATCTAGCCATCCACCGCCACCAGACCACCAACTCACACCACACAATCCTCCCTCGATTCATCTCTATACACCTCGATGGCAAACCCCAGCTCCTCTCCAACCCACCCATCAACCCCTCAATCATCCCCCCTCCTCGACCCCCGGGGTAAAAAGAAAAGCCAGTGTAACAAAAGCCTTACACCCCGCACAAACCAGCAGCGTAACCCACGAGCCCGCGACCTTCTCCACCGCCGCCCCGACAAAGCACCCGGCCGTCAACAAGCCCAAAAACAGGACCCTGCGATTCCTCTTCCGATTTCCCCATTTCAGCAGATCTGGATCAATGACCACATCCACATACGCCGCCGTCGCCATCGCCGTCGTGATGTCGGTGATCTTCAGCGCCCGGCCCATGGCCACCTGCGCCCCGGACGAGAACGCCAGCAGGAACAACGTCGCCAGCGTCGTTGCCTCTTCCTCTCCCTGCCCTACCTCGTGAGCCTGTGATTGGGATGGTGGGTAAGGGTGTGGACGACACATCCCCGCCGCGGCCAAGACCATCCCCGTCTGCAGCAGGCTAGAAGCCAGCAGCCACCAGCGCCGCCGCACGGCGCCCAGCCAGTTCCCCAGCTGGCCTAGCACCAGTCCCCCTGCCACGAACGCGCCCAGGCTCATCCCCAGATGCCGGAAGGAGTAATCCCCTGCACTGGCGAGACCGGCGCCCCCGATCGCCAGGAAGAGGAGGTTGCCTGTTTGGTTGGAGGCGAAGCAGCCGTAGTCCCGCCAGGCGGCGGCGTCTTGGATGCCGATGGCGAAGGAGAGGAGGAGCAGCTGCGCTTCGAGGGTGAGGTCCTCGCGGATGGAGTGGGTGAGGTAGGTGGTCAGCTGGCGGCTGCGCGAGGGTTCCTTCGCGGGGAGAGGGTGCGTGCTGGGGAGGGATAGGGTTATCGGTTCTTGGTCGAATGGAGGCGGGGGTATACATTGTTGAGTGTCGGAAGTGGACATGATAAAGTGGTGGATTGAGAGTGTTGGAAGGTAGTTCAATGGGTCAGGTTAGGACAGAGCAATATGAGTGTTTTGGGGTGCTATGAAAGGGGAGCTCGGGGATCCACTGTCCTGTCCAATGCTCTCTCCCATTAAACGTCTCTAGAATTCTAACCTGGCTTCTAGAAGGAGAGCTTGCAATCACTCAGAACTAGATTCACGCTATGTGGGTTGTATACTGGACCACTTGGTTCCGTGCCGTTGGCATCGGCGATTGGAGTTCGCCGTCTGGAATGGAGCCCGGGTCGGCGTTTGCCCCGGTCGTGGAAGACTTCTTCAGCGAAGCAAAATCGGATCTTGGAGAAAACCCAAGAGCTGGTAACTATAGAACCTGTCGGTCATCAAGTACACTCGGTCGTACTCAAAATAAAGTAGTCACCTTATCATCAGATTCGCATGTGAGAAGACCTCCCGTCCAGTTGTTGCCTCAGGCCTGAGATGGCCACTGATAAAGCTCTACTGCCTCTCAGTGCAACATTTACCAAGACACTGGATGCATATTTCAAAATCTTGGCTAGATTCCAAGCCAGGAACCGCTCGGGACTCTTCATCTGCTGCTTCGGGTGATGCGCCCAGAAGCTGACTGATGGCAAACTGCGTGATTACCTAGGGCCTAGGGCTTTCTCCGTTCGATGCTATATCATAACCTCATCTATCTGTATTGTTCCCTACATAGGTTCTGATGATGCTCTAGCCTCTTCCAGTCCAGAATTCAAGATCGATGTTCAGCAGAATCATGAAGAGCATAACACCAAGGCACGGTAGCGGCCACCTACCCACCCGCCCTCTTTCCAAGTATTGCGAGGGCAAGGACCCGGATCTCCAGCGAGTCCCTGACCCGGTCCTGCGCCATCTCCATCCTCAATCCCCCCGCGGCCGATCCAACAGATCCACCCGCGACAGATCAAACGCCCGCTGGCCGGCCCAGCGATCCAGCGCCTCCCAGTCGGCACAGCGGTGCGCGTTGACGTCGAAATTGGTCGGGTAGAACTCGGCCGGGGCGGCCGTATGTTGCGCCGTGTCGTTGATCCACCGGAAGGTGACGAGGGCGAGGTCGGGCTGGCACATCAGGCTCTCCCGGATGTACTCGACGCAGTGGTCGGCGTGCTTCCACTCGCGCGCCATGGCGGCTTCGTCGCGGTCCGCGTAGTAGTGTTCCTTGAACATCATGTGCTTTATTTTTTTCTGGACAGGAGAGGTTAGAGAGACGGACAGAGAGAGAGAGAAACAGCCAGAGACATGTTTGTTTATCGCCGGGGGGGAAGACTTACCAGGCAGTGTAACGAGTGATAGACACTCAGAGACACGATCCCCTCGGTGTGGTCTTTGGTGTACACCGACTTCAGGTTTTTCTCCTGGAGATATCCGATTGGCACGCGGATGTTGTCGTCTGAAGGCAATTATTAGCCTTTAGACCTATAGAGAGACACAGACAGACAGCAGGACGGATTCGGACTCACTTTGCAGAAGGTCATGCCAGGCACTCTCCAACTCCGGTCGTGGCGTCCCTGCCAGCGGATTGTCGACGATGTTCGTGGGGAATCGTCGAGATCGCCATTGCAGACCCTCTCGATCGGGTACTTCGCAGGACATGTTAGTTGAGGAAGGAAGAGCAGAGCAGAGGAGGAGGCAGGACCTACAGGGAAGCGCTGGACGAGTGTCTTTGATCCTATCGTGGTGAGAGGCATCAGACTGGAGGGCATGGCGAACAATGGCCAATGTGATGAGTGTGTAACTCAGGAAGATGCATAGATGAACGAGCCATGGGGCCAATCTCCACGTGAAGTTCCTCTTCGGTGCTTGCGTGAGAAGATCTTTCTTGAAGGACGGATGAGCAAGAGGAGGAGGAGTCCGGGGTCTTTCTTCCTCCGCAAGCAATGGCTCAGCAACAGACTCCTGATGCGCCATATTATGAAAGGTTTTCCTTGTCAGGGGACCGTACTTTCTCTCCTCGGCGCCGACGTGTGGTTGATGTTATGGTTGTGAAGTTAATGAGTTCAAGAGCGGCTTGTTATTACACGTCCAATCCATTGTACAGTACTAGGTAGCGAGCGACGATCCTACTACGAAGTAGATTTGCCCCGCAGGAGGCTATTGCAGCCATCACACTACCCACTGCACCGACAAGGATGTAATTTGCATCATGGTGACCAACAATCAAAGCGGTTATCGGGATGTATGTACATACTGCGGAGTGGGCCATGATGAGGGGGAGCCCGCAAGCTTTATTTGCCTGCATTAGGGTACCAAAAGTACCGTGGCAACAACGCGGCAGATGCGGCAAGGATTCAGTACGAGGAAGAAGGGAGAAGTAATTACAATAGGGCCAGGCTCTTACCATCCTGGAGCCACCCAAAAATACGCTAGCGCTTATGGAAGCAAAGCATTGATTCTGTACTTTCTGTAAGGAAGGTTTAATCTTGGGGCTGGAGGAGGTAAGAATCCCACCTTCTCAGACTTTATCTTACACACTCTGAGCTCTTGCGTCAGCTATGGAGTCGTAAGCTTAAGGGGCAAGAGATCGCGTGATCAGGTGCTTATCCCCATGGAGTTTCTACTGTAGGACACAGAACAAGATGAAGCGAATCTCCTTTTCAAATCACCCGCTTGAACCCGAAGCCAATCTTCCAGATCCGCGTTGTCGCCATGGCCACCACGGACCCCGACAGCAGGGCACCACACCAGACGATGAGCCCGACCCAATGGCGACCGTCACCGTGTCCGCCGTTGAGGATTGCGCCGGCGATGGGGGTGCTCACCAGCACGCCGCAGCCCACCACGGCCAATGTCATGCCCAACTGGGTCCCGATCTTGCTGCGGTCGGCAGAGAGGCTCACTACGCCGGCGGCAGGAAGACCCATAAAGGCCCCCGAAGCGAACCCGTACAAGACGCAATAAACAATCAGTCCGGGGGTGCTGTGGATGGCGATCAGCGCAAACGTCATCACCGCACCTACCAACGCGACCACCGTCTGGACATTGATCGACCCGATCCGGTCGGCATAGTACCCGGGGATCAGCCGGCCGGGCAGCGAGCTCGCGTTGATGATCACCAGGATGTAGGTGGTGATCGTTTGCGATACGCTAGTCTCCTGGATCGCGAACAGCTGGATGTAATACAGGATCACATAGAAGCCCATGAATCCCAGGATTAGGCCGGTGTTGAGGAGGAGGTAGGGTATATCCCGGAATGCGGTCCGATCCACCAGGCTCCATTGCGTGGTCGGCGGGGCTCTCGATCGCATCAGGACCACCGGTATGAGCATTGTGACGAGGACGATGAGGGCAAGGACGCGAGTGGTCCAGCCGAATCCGATGCGGGGTTGGAGCTGGGTGAAGATGATCGGGTATATGACGCTGCCTAACGCCGTGCCCGCGGACGATGCCCCCATCGCTAGCGCCGTGCTGGCGTGGAAGTATTGGGAGACGATCGTCGGGGCCGGCACGTACAGGCACCCGAAGCCCAGCCCCATGGTCAGCGCCTGCGCCAGGAACACCTGCCAGTAGGCCGTGCAAAGGCTCGTCATGCACATGCCCAGCACGGTGAGCACGGCCCCGAGCACCAGCAAGGACCGGACGTAGCCTGCGTCGACAATCGGCCCTACAATCGCCGAGACAATGAACATGAGGAAGGCCTGCGTTGATCCAATCCATGAGATGTCCGAGGAGGATTTTAAGGCGAGTAGAACCAGTTCGTAGAATGTCTGGAAGACCCTGAAGGCGTTCATGAGTCCCCTTGAGAGATTTGATTGGTTAGACGGTAACCCTAAGTTGACCGTGGGTGAGCTTCAAGGTTGCTTACCATGTGTTGAGATTCAGGCAGAAAGCTCCGAGCACTTGCAGCCATGCAAACCAGTCTTCGGTGGGGACGGAGGAGGATGAGGATGATGATGATTGCTCCTCGACATCGTTGATATCTTGTCGAGGGGCATCTTTTTCTCTGTGCTGGTCTTCAGTGGAGATTTGCGCCATGGGCTTACGAAGGCTAATGTGTAGCGAGCTCGGTGGTGGGAGATTTCTCGCTGTAAGGGCTTGAGGGAGAGGAGGGAATAGTGGGAAAGGGGGCTTGGATCACCCATGATCTTGTACTAAATTGAGGTTACAATCGTGCAATGAAGCGTGTATTCATTCACATTATCTGAACCATGGGACCGACCTTGAGTAGGCAACCAGGCGCTGACAGGGGTCGGGGATGATCATATTCTGGTACAGGCAATGTCCGAACAACAAAGAACAAAGAACGCGAGATAAGGGCGGGCCGCGCAAGCCATTACAAGTGGTTCTGACTCGGCCTAAAATCTGACATTTCACATTTGAGCCAGCCTGGAGTGATATGCAGGGGTCTGCACCTATCGGAGGAATGCCTCGGGGGTGAATCAGGACACTACCCGTGACCCCTATAACCGACGTAGTATTAGGGAAGGTTCCCCGATTGCCAGCTGGTGCCCGATCACTGCGACTAAATACAAACGGTCAAAAGTGAAGTGAAGTGCCGTCGGCGGCAGTGCCAGCCCGGGGCAGCTGTCACCGATTCTGTAATTGAATGTACTGTACTGTACTGTACTTTGTACCAAGATTGATTGACATCAAACACTCCATACATATCCTTAGAGGACCATCTTCCAGCCAAGCAGGCCCAATTTGGTAGTGTTTAAGGTGTATTATAGGCAGGCTAGAGAGGTATCAGCAGGTGCATCCGTAATTGAATTGCATGTAATTTTGAGGCTTACACAGCACATGCTCCAAGCACATGCTCAAATTAAAGCTTGACTTTCTATCGAGTAAGGCAGACAGACACCTTTCTTTATACAGTCTAGATACGTGGAAATCGCAATTTCGACCAGAGAATCAAGGAGTGACCAGCACCAATGGGCAGTGAGTCGAGATGTTTCAACGTCTGAGACACATATAGTGTCTATCTGCTGGAAAGGAGGAACAATTCCGGCCCCAAAAGAGCTTTCTGAACCTAGCAACAAAGAACATGAATGCTACCTTGGAATACAGCCGACATGCGTGGAAGGGATCCAATTATAATGTCTGGCTGATAAGAATAAGCTCATGTAGTGAATGATTAACATTCCCACGCATGGACTTCAAGATTCCTTCCCACTTGACTGGTTCCAGATGGCTCACTCTATATCATCCCCCTTTGTGACCCCGGATCGCGAGAGGATCTTACAATTTGACACCAGGAAGTTCACACCACCACCACCACCACCACCACCACTACTCCCCCTTGTCACTTGCTATCTCGACTGTGACCAACTTGAAAACAACCATGTCTTCCACAAATGGCCACACCGCGAACGAGGAATCCCTAAGTCTCATCACCCAACTGCAAGCCCTGGCATCGAGGCTCAGCAACCCCCACGATGTCGACGCCCGCAAACAATGCCTGCAGCTCAGCAAAGGCCTCACCGTGCAACTGGAACAGCCCGAGAACATCGCGGTGGACATGGCCTTTGCGGTACGTCTTCCTCTCCAGCTCGGTTGGATCATCGACTCCACTAAACACCAAATCCACAGCCCATGGTCGCCACCAGCGCTCGTATCGCCGTGGACCTGAATCTCTTCGCGCACATCGTGCAGGCGCACGCGCCCATCACCGCCGCAAGCCTGGCCGCTTTGTCCGGTGCGGAAGAACTGTTAATCGGTAGGGCACACCAAACTCCCCGTCATCATCGCAACAAAGCCTTACCCTCCCCTCAACCTCGCAGTGCGCATTCTGCGCCTCCTCGCCGCCGTCCACTTCGTCCACGAGGTCGCGCCGCAGACCTGGACGGCCACCCGCATCACGCACGCGATGGCCACGGAGGAGATCGCAGCCGGCCACCGCATGGTGTCGCGGCTGATCGTGCCGGCCATGCAGAGCGCGCCGGCCTACTTCCACGAGCGCGGGTACCGCTGCCCCTTCGACCCGACGGACGGGCTGATGCAGTACGCCTTCGGGAGCACGCAAAGCACCTTCGACCGCATCGCCGCCGACCCGGCCCTGCTCCGCGACTTCAACACCTTCATGAGAAACACCATGGGCGCGCGGAAGTACTGGGTGGACTGGTATCCCGTGCAGGAGCGGATCCTGGATGGCTTTGCCGCCGACACGGCGGCGGCGGCGGCGTTGCTGGTGGACGTCGGCGCGGGCAAGGGGCATGACCTGCTGGCCTTCCGGGCCAGGTTCCCCGACGCGGGCGGCCGGCTGGTGCTGGAGGACCTGCCCGCGGTCATTGACGGGCTGAAGGAGGTGGAGGGGGAGGGGGAGCCGGCCATCGAGACGGTGCCCTATGACTTCTTCACAGAGCAGCCGGTCGTCGGCGCCCGCGTCTACTTCTACCACCACCATACCCTCCATGATTGGTCAGACCCCTACTGCCTCTGGATCCTGCAGCAGGTGGCCGCCGCCATGACTCTGGGGTTCTCGAAGCTGCTCGTGCATGAGATCATCGTCTCGGACCAGAGGGCCGCCCAGTTCCAGGCGCAGTTCGATATGACGATGATGGCCTTTAACTCGGGGATCGAGCGCACCCGCCCGCAGTGGCAGACCCTGCTGGAGGCGGCCGGTCTGACGGTGGTCGGGGTGTGGGATTCGGTCAATGAGGGCGGCGATGGGATTGTGGAGGCCATGAAGCTATAGTACTGTACTTAATCCTGAGGTCTAACTGGCTGCAACATGACCTTCATATGATCCTAGATTGATGTATCTCTTAGACGGTTGCTACCAAGTGTGAATGAATCCAATTGAAGTCTATACCACAGGCAGTACCACTACCACTCCCTACTCAACAGGTCACAACACCCACCCATCAGGGCAGAACTTGAACCGATCGACCATCCGGCCAGGGACCTCATCCTTATGCTTGAAGCAGGCGGTGCGCTGGTGGGCCCATCGACCGATGTGGGGGTGGAGCCACCACGGCGCTGAAGGGCTTTCCCTGCCGACCTAGAGGATGGAAGAAGGCTCACAGAGTCTTAGTGTTAGTTGTATATGTAAATGTGTCTCTGTGATAGCAGTCACCTAGAAAAGTCCCCCTAGCACGATGTCCTGCACTGTACCTCTGCAAACTACGGAATGGTGCTTTCCCGCCTAAGTCTAAGCAAGGTAGGGCTAAGTATAACTGGACGAGTGTGTGGCTTCTCCCCCTTCCAAGGGCAGGGCTGATACATAATAACATAATAACCTTGAAGACCCCATCCACTTTGTTCTCGTCCCTTGCCTGCCCGCAACTCTTCACACTTATCCTCCCAAAACACCTGGCAGCCATGTTCAATCTCCGGCCCCGCTATGAGCCCTTAAACCCGAACTTTGACCCCAGTCGGTTGCGCACTCGTCTGGTACCGCAGCGCTGCTATCTGGTAGTATGGCTGATCACCATCGTTATCGCGGCCGGCATCGGCGGCCTTATTGGGAGCCATCTTGATCATCATAGACCATGCCAGCCTTCCCCTGGATATTCGAATCGTGGGTTGCCCTCCACTCCAGCACTTACCAAAGACTGAGTCCCTCCCTCCGATCTCGAACCATACAGCCTCCATCCCACTGCGAACCCACAAAGAAGTCTTCACCTACAACCGCACCTTTGGAGCTGATCCCCGCGAGGATGCCAACACCCAAGCGGCTTGGGATTCGATCGTTCCGCGTGAGAGATGGCCCCTCTCCCTGGGTTTAAACCCCTGTGTGCCAAAAGCATCCTAACCACGAATGAAGGAAACCAGTCGGCCAAGGGACCGTCCGATACCCTACGCCCGATACCGACCAGATCTATTACACGGTATCGGTGGTCCACCAGTTACATTGCCTAGTATGAGACCTCTCTGCCTTCATCGTTGTTCGTTTTGTTTGCCAAACCCACTGAAGCGCTAATGTCTCCGCCGTACCCTCAACCCGCAGTGGTCGATCCACCAGAGCTACTATGGGGTGATGAGTGTGAACCACAGCGCCCAGCACGCCGTTCACAAGGAGGAGGAGGAGCACATCCCACGGCACATGCGGCACTGTTTCGACTACCTGCGGCAGAGCCTGATGTGCGCGGCCGACGCGACGCTGGAGCCGGTGGATGCCGCGCTCGGCGGCGTCACCGGGTGGGGAGCGGAGCGCGTGTGTCGCGACTACGCGGCGCTGGCGGCGTGGGCGGAGGAGCGGCGGGTGAGTGATGCGCGGGGGTTTGAGTGAGGGGTGAGGGGTCGACGTACGTCCCTACAGTAAGTGTGGGAAGTTGGTGCAGGACGCTCAATGGCCATGATTATGATTTTCTTCCGTGCTATTGCTAGTACATACGACCACAGGGTGTGGAAAATAGGGCTTCCCGTCCGCTCAGCCGTACTCAAGCCACACGCCGGGAGGTTAGTAGTTGGGTGGGTGACCACCAGCGAATCCCTTCTGTTGTATGTTTTTGCTTTGTGTTGTGTTACCTTCTTTTTCTTATGTCTTGTTTTGGTGGAATGAGGTGGTTGATGATCTCTGACCAGGGGGAACTTGGTCAGGTGGTGGAAGACAGTGTTGGTAGTTTAAATCCCGCCGGCGGCCCAGAGACTATATGAGGGAGATCGTCTTTTTCGAAGTGTCAGTCCTTCTTGTTCGATTAACGCCTGATTCTTTCAATCGAGTTCAGCCCATTGTTCCAGCCTGCCGAAGTAAGACGCCGGGTCTGCACCCCGCCAATCTCGTTGCACAAACAATAGATACCGGCAATCTTTTTCAGCTTGAAGCAACGTTGCAGCCAGATGCCTTACCGTACAACGTTTGTGAACAGCAAGACTCGGTTAGTGAGATGATTTATCTGGATTGTATGACTGGGGCTTAATCCAACTGACCTAATGTAGTGGCGCGCCGATTCTGCATGTTAGTCTTGTCTCTGCCACACATTCTAGTCAAATATCCTCGTTTGTTACATTACTATACTGGGTCTAATTGAAGGAGTGTACAAAATATGTCTATGGTATCCGACTTGTGCAACTATATACAGACTATTGTTGATTTGTCGATAGAATCACACGGAGGTTGTAAGGTACAGCAAGTACGGGTTTAGGCCGAGCCGAGCTGCTCGGCGTTCTCGAAGCCAGTAAAGGTGAAGCCGGCGAACTCGGCGCCAATGTCATCACTAGCGCCATTGAGGGTGAGGTACAGCACGTAGGTCTGGTAGTCCAACAGGAAGGACGAGCTGTTGGCGAGGGACAGCGCCAGGTTGGCCCGGGCGATGGCGTCGTGGAGCTGGGTGTAGTTGGCCTGGTTGACCCACTCCTGGGTGGAGGGGACGTCGGCGCCGTCGGTGCTGACGGTCACGTTGTCCAACTGAGCCTGGGCCTGGGACACGGCCTTGGTGAGGAAGTCGCGCGAGTTGCCATCGCTCGTCATGCCCACGGGCCCGCCGCGGTTGGTGGTGTTGGTGACGGGGACCAGCCAGAGACTGACGTTGAGCCCGGCGGCCGAGTCGTTGGTGAGCTTGAAGAACTTCTGGGCGTCGGTGAACTCGCCGGGCCGGTTCGAGATGGCCAGGTTGTCCCGCGAGAAGCGCATGGCGTCCTCGTAGACCACGCCCCCGATGTCGTAGGAGGTGTGATCCGCGCCGTCAATGAAGAGACCGACCACGTCCTGGGCCCGCTTCATGGCCCAGCCCTGGTTGCCGTACCAGAACAGCGCGACGTCGCCGGACTGGATGCTGGTATCGAAGTTGCTGGCGGGGATGGCCGGGCCGGCACCGCTGAAAAGGTCGGCATCGAAGATGGTGCCCTCCCAGCGCGTCTTGTCGGCGACGTCAATGTTCCCGCGGTAGATCGAGTAGGTGCCGTTGGCGTTCTGAGTGATGGTGTCGACGGCCACGCCCTCCAGGTAGTCGGCGTCGATGAGGTCGGTATAGCCATCGCCGTTGGTATCCCAGAAGCGCACCTCGAGACCGGCGACGAGGCCGGTGACGACGGACAGGGCAGCAGCCTCGTAACTGCTGGCCTCGGTCTCCGCCTCATAACCGCCATACCACGTCGCAGTGGTCGTGTCGTAGTACAGCCAGGGCACTTGGTTGACCAGATAGCCGTCGCTCAGGCACTGGCTAGCCCTGTTGAAGGCGGACTCGGTGCCTGGGATAGCCCACAGGTTGATGTAGAACTGGCTGTCTTCGATGACGGCCTGGACGCCCTTGAGAGCGCTTGCCTGCTTGAAGTACTGGTCGTACTGGGTGGCGGTGATGTTGGCGGCGTCGGTGCCCATGTCAATCACGACGGAGTGGAGTAGCGTGCCATCAATCTGGCTGCTTGGGTAGGCAGTACCGCAAGCCGCGAGGCCCGAGGCGGGCAGCATCGCCAGGACTGAGGCATTGGCGAGTCTCATGTTCGCGACAGCTTGAGGAGTGAAGCAAGGTTAGCGGAGGAGCGCTGAAAACGAGCGACAGGTGGTAGGAAGAAAAGGAGCGACAGGTACGGATTGAGATGGTATGAGGTATGGTAGGCATCCGGATGGTGTCGGGTTATATATCCTCATCCTGCTCCCTCATCCGGCTTCCTCATAGCTGATGACGAATCCGATATGGGGTAATTCAACCTTAGCGGGAGTGGGGCCGGGGATGTCGATCCCGTGAATTTCCTCCCTTTCTTCTTCACAGTTTCACAGTTTCATCGCATGGGTAAATCTTTAAGCACCCGAGTATTTTAGTGTTGTCACCCTCAGGATACAGGAGGTGAATAGACATGATTGAGGATATGCTAGCTGCAGGGGGTGTTCGGACCGTGACGGAGGTCCGGTCTGGCTATATACTTTGGGGGTTAGTGAAACAGTTAACCTCCAAGGTTAAATTAAGAGTAATAAGGTGAATAGAACGTGTCCCCACGCACCTTACTATATTGGCTGTAGGCCCGTAGCACTGACCGGCAAGGCACATATGATGAAGAACGTTGAACGTGGGTCTGAGCTGACGACAAGGAAGAACTGCAGTGAATGATGACATGGCCATAAACGGTCCAGCCATCACATACCTTGCTTCAAATCCAGACTGCCCCTGTCGATCCATGGAACGTGCAAGCTTAAGTTTGCGGAGACTAAACCACTTGAGGCTTAGGTCTCCTTCCAAGCTTCCGCCTCCGTGCGCGTTCCAAGATTTCATTTCTCTCGATCTGTCTGTCCAATGTTCGAAGTTCGCCCTCTGGCACGCTTATCAGGTCTTGTTCCACATCCACATTTGACAGGCTGATCCGAGATCTTACATCGACCTCGTTGCCCATTCTGAGGAGCTTCATCATCTGAATATTATACTTCCGAGCCACATCTACTTACTTGAAAGCCGTACGGGTCATCAGGGATCCAGTCTGCGCCCAAGAGAAGCCGAATCTCTCCTTTACTCAGTCTCCCCCTCTGATTGCAGCGGGGACATAGATGACGCAAGAGCTTTTGCTCCGTCCTCCGTCCTCCGTCCCCACATGTTCTAAACAAAACGAAAGATTAGGAATCATAAGAGCGAATTAGCGGGTGATCGACAGGGAGTGGCATAGGACCATGCAGGATGCAATATCATCGCCCCTATTTGTGTTCGGAGCGGGTGAACCTGCTCTATTCCACAATCTGATCAGTCATGCCCTCCGTGAATCTTAATTCTTGCGACAGAGGTGCAATATCGAACGAGCGAAGACTACCATGGAAACGATCCTCCAGATCTCCCTAAAGCTCACGAAGATGCTCGTCCTGACACCCCGGCTATGTTTCAGAAGTTACTGGCTTTCAGCCTGTAATAGAGTTATAGCAATACTGTGCTTGAAGCTTTACACGATATAGCTCACCGACTATACCCACGGTCGTCTCAGAGATTTAATCATCTCGGAGGCATGATTGAAAAGGTGAATCAAAAAGAAAAAGTGATGGTGGCCTGTGCTAGAAGCCCCGATTAGGAGATCCTGTAATTGGTGCATTGGGATTCTTAGTGCCAGGTGATGCTCGCCACCAGGAAGATACCTAGTAGACTCTACATGATAGGTTTGAGAGGGCACTAGAGGGATTCTATTCTTTGTGCTCACTTGGGCAGGGGTCAAGATAGAGAATAATCAATAAGACCCTGGCCAGTCCAGTTCAGTCAATGTAAATGGCGTTTCTTTCTCTTTAGAGCCGTGGCAATCAGTCATTATTCACTCACACTGTTTGACTATCTTTCATAATACTGTTTGAGATTGGACATGGCAAATCAAGGCCTATCCATGCCCTCCGCTCTCTCTCAAAATTCCAACCAAGGTCCAGAGATGTGAAGTGTCGTCACATAGCACTCCTGTTCGGATTTGTGGACGGATCCACTAACATCCTCCACATGGAGGATTCTGCTGGGGACTGCGGGTTCCTCCAACCCAAGGAAAATGACTATAGTCCCTGATGACAGCGCCTCACTCAAGAAGAGAATAGTCTGACATAAGTAACCATCATTCAAGAGGTACGTGAGGCAGGTTGAACAGCTCTTGAGAGATGAAGCAAGAGAAGGGGACCAAAAAACATACAACAGAAGGGATTCGCTGGTGGTCACCCACCCAACTACTAACCTCCCGGCGTGTGGCTTAAGTACGGCTGAGCGGACGGGAAGCCCTGCTTTCCACACCCTGTGGTCGTATGTGCTAGAGTACGTGCTTGGAAGTCACAAGTATCAAGTCATCACATCATATCGGCCACGATACCCTCATTTCTTCAGCTTCAACCCATGTCAGTCGGCAAACGATCGCTGTCTGACGAAAGATCAATCGATGGGAGCGTAAATCTCTGCATTTCCGCTGACACGGGCAGAATCATGTCACCAGTATATCCACACCACACCTGCCTATTCTTCATAGGAAAGCTATAGCAAAGTTCCTGTTACATCCAGCTTCACTGTTGAACTTATAAGAGTTGAATTAGATGTTTGATATGTGCCGAAAATGAGCCCGATGACTATAGTGAGTCTGGCGCTGGATGCGGGGAAGGAGCGGGAGGACTTTGGTCCATCTCCGAACCCTAAATCTACTCTACTCTACATCACTTCCGTGGTACGTTTATTCGTGTTCCGGGAAGTAAGATGCAACTCGAATCTTGGTTGCAGTCTAACGTCTCTCGTTTGAATCGATCCCGGGCTCGATGCTGCGGCGAGGCAGATCCTGTCTCAGGCTCTGAGCGAGGTCGACATTCGTTGACCATGGTGAATGCATCGGCATTGCCATCAATCTGGATTGTCGAGTTCCAGATACCCATTCTCGCCGTCAGCCACAGACAGCTAATACGACTCCGGAGACAGAGTCTACTTCGGAGTTTTATCTAATTTAGGCGCCATTGCAATCGTATTGAAAGCTTGATTCGCTGCGCAAGATTGAGTTCCCGGTCTATCCAGGGATCAACGCATTGCGAAGAAAGAACAAAGACATGGCTACGGAGCGCCGTCGACGAGGTGACAGCGATTTTATGCCTAGCAGCTATGCAGCAGGGTCACATAAATTGAAAGCTTTCCCCGCGGCCCTACCAAGGGGTTTGCCATGTTGATACACAGGGATATGATCCACATATCGGGGCACCACATTCGTTCGACCGCTATGAGGAAAGGGAGCTGGACACGTATACCGAGATTCTGGAAAAGATTCAAGGCGGCGCCGCTGACGGGGGCGGTGCCTCCGTTGGAACTCTGTTGCGGGCGGCGTCATTCCTCAAAGCTAAGCTCACCGAGCGCGAGGATCTGCTTGAGTGGCTGGATACGCGATTCGCGACGCTCTACGACATGTGGGTCGGTGAGGGCCCAAATCAGCTTCTCGATGCCATCCGCGAACTGTCCAACGCGGGAGCGAGGATAATGACGACCAACTACGATGACCTGCTGAGCCGACATTGTAATGCGCAACCAATTGTTGCTGCTCAGACGGGCGAAATGCAGAAGTTCTTCCAGCGGTCGGATGCGAAGAGGCGCATCCTTCATACCCACGGGTCATGGAGTAAACCGAACGGAGCCGTGCTGGATGAAGTGGACTACGTCCATGTTACCCAGGACAATCGGCCCAGGAGCTTTCAGGGGGCCTGTTCCACAAGCGATGGGGTTGTCCTCTTCTTGGGCACCGGAAGTGGGTTAAATGACCCCAACCTTGGCAGGTTGTTAGACGGGGCCAGTGAAATACTGCGTCAAGGTCCCAAGGGCCATTTTATTCTACTTCGAGATGCGGAAAAGAACGAGAGGAATTTCCTCAACGATCTGAGATATGGGCCGGAATATGGAAGCCTTCCTTCGTTCTTGGGCAGGCTGAAGAGGGAGGACCGTCAAAGTACGCAGCGAATGCGAATGACTGCTATTTCTTCCAACCCATCTGATTCAGATTCGTGTGCACAATGCTATGATGTCATTTCCTCCTTTGTTCTCACGTTACCTATTCAATGCGGATTCTCGATCCTGATACGTATCACATTCTCTGTTCAGACCAATCGACGGCCAAAAACGGGCAGTTTCCAGAGGTATTCCCATTCAACACGAGCGGCTTCGTTGCGCGAGAGAAGCTTCAATCCCAGATCGAGGGCGAACTCAATATCATCGGTGCCCCAAGGATATGTGCGTTGCAAGGTCTGGGTGGCATTGGGAAGACCACAATGGCCCGCAAAGTGGCCTTGGCTTTCAAAGACAAATGTCATATCTTTTGGATTGATTGTCGCATGCGGACGAAAATGGACGAGGACTTTCTTGCCATCGGACCAGCCTTGCAGCCGGGTGCCGACTCCTACGATTTCCACCGCATCAAGCAAGCCATGGCCAGTAGAGAGGACTGGATGCTGATCATTGACAACGTGGACAATGATGAGACTTTGGCCCATGTGCAAGAAAACATGATCCGTCTCGTGGACAAGGACGCATTCTGCTCACAGGAAGGGTCACCACACTTGGAAATGTCAAGAATGCGCCATCATGCGAATTCCCATTGATGAACGCCACAGAAGCGGAATCCTTCCTGAGGAAGTTGATCCCACCCGCGTTGGCATCAGAACAAGAAGGATACAAGCTGGTTGAGATGCTAAAATACCCATGTTTGTAGGCTAGGGCTTTTATGATCTCTTGGATGCCCTTGAGAACGCATCTAGCCTGCCTAGTTAGCCTAGACCAAGAGTCATTTGTTGTCAATTTCAACTTTCAAGCTCAGCTGCTGATGTGGAACGAAACTAATCCTCTGGTGCGTCGAACGGAGCCGGTTGTGACTGAAGCACGTAAGTACTAAAGGTGGAAAGAGAATGAGCGATTCTCCGCACGGCGACAATGCGGGGAAGGAAAACGGCGGGTCAGATCGGCGCAGAAGCAAACAGAGCAAACCGCACAAATCAGGCAAAATGTATTCCGCCGATTGCGACAATCGACAATCTTCCCCGACGAATAGCTTGAGCATCGCGACATTCTCTCTCGTGGCACTACAGTTCTTGATGACATACGCCAGATTTCGTCACAGCAAAAGCAGCGTTTTATCTGTCTTCCGGGCTCCAGCGCCAATCCCGTTCCGCGATTCCCTTGCCCAAACCCCGAGCGGGACTCGAATCGTAGCCATGTCAACCTCGACATCGGCGCCCCCGCGCAAACCAATGCCCTCTGCATTGACCTTTGATCTACACGCTAAGTGCTCCGTCAGTACTCAGTCCTGTCCTTGAATGAGTCACGCGCATTTCTTGGGCTCTGGCTAATCTCGTATTTCTCACAGACAACGAAAGCACGCGCGAGCACGCTCCACCTCCCCCATGGCGACGTCCCTCTCCCCATCTTCATGCCCGTCGCGACCCAAGCCTCCCTGAAGGGCTTGACGTACGATCAACTACGCCAGACCGGCTGCCAGCTCTGTCTAAACAACACCTACCACCTTGGCCTCAAGCCGGGCCAGGCGGTGCTGGATGCGATTGGGGGCGCGCACAAGTTGCAGGGGTGGGATCGAAATATCCTCACGGACAGCGGAGGGTGAGCACATACGACAAGTCCGATGGACTGGTGCTGACAAGAGGCTTCTAGTTTCCAGATGGTGTCCCTCCTCAAACTCGCACAAGTCACCGAAGAAGGCGTCCGCTTCCTGAGTCCCCACGACGGCACCCCGATGTGTGTCTCCCCCGCACTTACAAACCCGATACATATCTGACAGGGCCAGGCTCCTCACTCCCGAACACTCAATCTCCCTCCAAAACTCCATCGGCTCCGACATCATCATGCAACTGGACGATGTCATCGCCACCACATCCCCGGACCACGCCCGTATCCACGAAGCGATGGAGCGCTCGGTCCGATGGCTCGACCGGTGCATCGACGCGCACAAATACCCGGAGAGGCAAAATCTGTTCTGTATCATCCAGGGTGGGTTGGATCTGGAGCTTCGCAAACAATGCTGCGAAGCGATGGTCGCTCGAGATACGCCGGGAATTGCCATCGGGGGTCTTTCCGGCGGAGAGGCCAAGGAGGACTTCTGCAAAGTGTATGTGTTTGACTGCCAGAAGAGAGGCGAAAGCTGATGATTAAAGGGTGGACACTTGCACGGGCTTGCTTCCGGAGAAGAAGCCGCGCTACGTTATGGGAGTGGTAGGCAGCAATGCTTCTACTTGTTGACTACTGAAGACTGACGATCGACAGGGCTATCCGGAGGACTTGATAGTTGGTGTCGCTCTCGGCGCAGACATGTTTGATTGTGTCTGGCCCACGCGAACTGCGGTAGGTTCCCTGTCTGCGTTGGATTAGCAGTCATTAACCTGGAGCAGCGCTTCGGCAACGCGGTTGTCCCCAGCGGCACACTGAATCTGCGTCATCGGTCATACGCGGAGGATTTCCGGCCAGTGCAAGAAGGCTGCACCTGCAGCATCTGCCGGCCCCGGGATCAGGGCGGACTCGGGATCACGCGTGCATATATCCACCACCTCACAGCCAAAGAGACCGTGGGAGCGCATCTGTAGGTTGCTTATTTCAGACAGTTCAAAAAGAATGCTAACAGTACCAGTCTCACCATGCACAACGTACACTACCTGCTGTCCTTAATGGGATCCGCTCGACAGGCTATCCTCGAGGATCGGTTCCCGGCGTTCCTGCGCGAGTTCTTCGCCAACCTTTACGGTGAGAAGTCGAATTACCCCAGCTGGGTAGTAGACGCACTGCGGGGCGTGGGGGTGGATCTCATGGACGATTAGCGCAGCATACGATAGAAGCGCCAGTCAGCGATAGACGATAGTCTAAACTTTTGATACCACATCTTGTGATGTAAACATACAGTACATATTACAGCCGACCCAGCACACATCTATATATCCATGCCCCCAAACCCCTCTATCATACACCCCCACGACAGCAACCCCTAAACAACCCTCGCCTCCTCCCTGGGCGGCCTCTCGCCAAAGATTCCCGTCCCCACGCGCACCTGATCACTCCCCAACCTTATCGCCCCCTCAAAATCCTCACTCATCCCCATACTCAACTCCAACCCTTCCTGTTGCAACCCCAACTCCAGCACAACCTGATCCCTGACCCCCCTCAACGCCACAAAATCCACATTCTCCTCCCCAACCTTAACAGCCTTACTCCTCGCAATGGCCCCAATAGTCATCACCCCCGCCAACTTCAGGAGAGGACACTCCTCCCGAATGTACCGACAAAGCTCGACCGCCTCCCTGCCGGGCTCGACGCCGGACTTCTCCACCTCGCCAGAGGTATTGACCTGCACGAATACGCGCAACCGCGCCTCATGGTCCTCCGCCTGCAGCGCGGGCGCCCGCTCCCCCCACCCCCGGTTCAGGAGCCCGGCTTTCTTCTTGCTGTCCACGCTCTCGACGGCCCACAGGCCGCGCACCTCCCGCGCCAGCGTCACGCACTTGTTCGACTGCAGGCCGCCGATGAAGTGCCACTTGATGCTCCCCGGAAGGAGCCGCGACTTCTCCAGGAGCTCTTGTTGGTAGTTCTCGCCGAAGTGCTGGTGACCGGCGCCGGTGGGTGGGGCTGTGTGCAGGGCCAGTATGTCGGAGGCGGGTTTGAGTTTGGAGACGGCTACGAGACGCGGTTCTTTGGGTTGGGAGGAGGTGGATGAGGTGCTGGCGGCGGTGGTGATGCGGAGGGAGACGGTGGTGAGGTTGCTGAGGAGGGTGGCGGTGCGGGACGGGGTGGCTGTTAACGGGCTGGCCATTTTGGTGGTGTTGCTGGGGTTGAGGGCCTGAGGGCCGGTGATCGGGGTTTTGTTGGAGTGATTCTTGGTGGTTTCTCGAAGAGAGAGGGGAGTGAGTTGAGCTGGTGGTGATATTTGGAGAAGATGTGGTGGTGGTGAGGATGCCCCGCTCAGAGATGAGTCAGCGGGATTTTCCATATGGTGCACGTGATGAAGGGGTCTATACCATTGAGATGGTGTATTAGTTGTCACGCAATGAGAGAAGTCATTTGTGTTAAGAGGGTTTATAATTTTGATAACTGAAAGTGATTCTATTATACTGTATGCCTTAGATATAATCAGTTACATGACACCTTAAGACTACAGTGCAAAAGATCTCAGTCAAGATATATAAATGCTTGAAACTATGAACTGCCAAAAGGTATCTACAACTCTTGTAAGACTCAATCTCACCATCCATTACACAACTCCATCCCCTCAATGCTTGAACTGATCCTCCGTCACACCCTTACCCATCGCCGCAGTGCTGCTGATACCGCCCGTCACCATCTTCAGCATATTATCAATATAATTGGCACCGCTCCACTTTTGATGCGTCACCACGTCGACGCCCTGCTCGATCTCGGGCTCCTGCACCAGCTCGCCGTACGCGCGCATGCCATGCTGAGCGTACGCCTTGGCGAACTGGTCCGTTATCAGCGCCGTGGTGTGCAGCCCGGCCAGGGTGATGAACTGCCAGCAGTATCCCAGGGCCCCCAGGCGCTTGATGTAGGTCTCCTGCTCGTCGCGGGGCATCGCCTTCTTCCAGTTGAACGAGGGGGAGAGGTTGTATGCGAGTCTAGACAGTTTCATCGTTAGCACACCTCTCGATCATCAAGAAAGAATGTCGGTAAAGGACAACGTACTTCTGTTCGGGCCACACGGCGTGCACCCCATCGGCGAACTCCTTCGCCTGCGCGTAGTCCGGAAGCTTGCTCTCCATCCAGATGAGATCCGCGAACGGGGCGTAGGCGACCGCCCGGTTGACCGCACACTGGGTGCCGCCCTTGTACCGGTAGAAGCCCTCGCGGGTCCGCGGCGCATCCCAGTCCCAGTGGATGTCGACGCCGGTGATGCTCTTGGCGAGGGCGCGGGCCTCGCTATTGCTCTTGCCCTTGACCTTGCGCAGGTAGTCCTCGGCCACGGCTTGCTTGTTGTTGTGCGAGCCCTGGTGGATGGCGTCGAGGACGGCCTCGTCGAACAGCTTCAAGCCAGCTTGAGCGGTCCATTGGTCCTCAATCGCCTGCAGGTCATTGCCCGACTTGCCCGCTTGCTCGGCAGCGACCATCAAGTCGTTGAGAGGCTGCAGCTTGGGGTTGGTGGAGCCGATAATGAAGCCGTGATCCCGGTAGTCAATGGTGGATGTGATGAGAGTGGCGGCCTCGGAGTCCGTTCGGGCAATGGCCAGGAGATCCGTGCCTGCATTGTTCGCTGTTAGTCCAACTCTCTCGGAGACGCAGGATTGATACGTACCCATGATATCGGCCTGCGCACGAATGGCAACCAAGCGGTTGATGTGCTCGCTGATAGGCACCAACACCTTACCAGCCATGTGGCCACACTTCTTGGTGCCTGGCGCCTGGTCTTCGATATGGATACCAGCCGCACCCCGTTCGACGAACAGCTTGGTCAGCTTCATCACCGCAGTCAAACCACCATGACCGGTATCGGCATCCGCGATGATGGGCCGCAGGTAGTCGATATTAGCCACCTTGTGGCGCTGGTCCTTGGGGGTGGTGATGCGCTCCTCGCGTTGTTTCCGGTCGTGGAACAATTGAGCCATGAAGAGGTGGTTGACTTTGTTGGGAACGGTGTTCTAGGATCTCATGTCAGCATCGGGAACAAGCCAACTCCAAAGGTCCCAAGCCTACCATAGGATAATCAGCCAAGTCCGGTGAGGGCTCATCGGTGGAAGAGGCAGTGGAAGAGCTTTGCCAGCCCGATACGTAGACGGTATCGAGGTATTTGGCCATCTGGGTGACCATCGTGGGGTCGAGACAGCCGTAGGTGAAACTGGCCACTTTTTTCTGCAAGCATGAAGAGAATGGTTAGCTCTGGCTTCATTTCACTTCCACTCTTCCAGAGGGACCTACTAACCTCAAAGTTGCTCTCCAAGATCTTCCAGAGCTTCTTGGCTTGCACATTGGATGGGTAGTCAATCGTCAGGTTTCCGCGCTTCGCCACAATCTGCTCAGCAGTGAAAGGGCGCTTGGTATGTCTCCATCGGGAATCCTTCCACCAAGCGTTGACGGCTTGGATGTCTTCCAGATACTTCTGGTCTTCGTCTTCGTGTAGACCCATGATGTGTGAGATGGGAGGGGCGGTGCGAGGGCAACAGGAGGGAATCAGGAAGCAAGCTGAGGCAGTGTATGCAGTATAGCCAGTCTACCGATCTATAAGCACCGTGACCAGGGAGAGTAAGACAAGCAAGAAGAATGAAAGTCAAATTGGAGGGGAGAGTCCGGAGGAGAAGACGCAACCGGAGGGTAAGAGAAGAGTTAAAGTACTGGAACAAACGAGCTTCAATCCTCCCTGGCAATCACGAGCCAAAGGGTCGATATTTAAAGACCAGCAGATGCACACGCGCCATAGTCGGTGCGTCAGAGTCATTGACTTTGGGCCAGTCGTCGGTAAACGTTCGGATCAGCGGGACAAAAAGGGTGGTCGAGCAGACGCACCCGGCATGTCTCGAAAACTGGGGGAAGGTGAATTAGGTTAACCGTGTCCCAGATTCACAGGCCATGGTCGGAGCCAAGGGGCAAGCTGAGTGGTTGGTGGATGAGGTTCGGGAGAGAGGATCACGTTCTGCTGAAGATCCTCGGTCTAAGGGGAGACCCTCCACCTTTCCCCGGGCCTGAGGCATTTCCGGGGCGATGAGTCGGTCGCCACGCCGCGGCGATGGATGGTCCTTGGCGCATTTGGGTCGGACAGCGTGGGTTTGGATTCTGACATGGTAGAGGAGATCAAGGATGACCTAAAGAGAGGATTGAACAATGCAAGAATTGACCCGAGTTGTTGTTTTCTGAAAACTGTCTTGTTCAATTTGATGGTGAGAGAGGAAGAAAGAGTATACGGAGTACAGGGGAGTCCATGACGTCGATGCATGTGCTTCCGGGGGGAGGGTATCAGCTTACCATACCATACGCGTACTGCAGCCCGAAGCTGCAGGCATCAATACGAGCAATTAACCTCGGTCCAGCCCAGATCCTCCTGACTCGTCCAGATCGACATCGACTGCCTGCATGTTCGGGTATTCAAGGAGCTTCCTCCCGTGATTCCACGACGTCCACGACATCGTTTGATGAGATCCACTGAGGTACTTGCTTAGTTCGTGATGAATCCCGGAAAAAATACCTCATCGGATCCAGGCTAGCAACAGTGGGAATCAAATAGAAAAGTATTGTATGTTTTATATATAAGGTAGTAGTCTTGAGTGGTATAAACAAGTATAAATATACCACTCCGAATGGAGTCTCATCGCCCAGTAGCCCTTTGCCCTCTGACTCATGTTTGTCTTTCACATTCGTGGTGAGGTACTCACTTTTAACATGCACGGGAGTGCCTCAAAAGGCGCAAACAAGTGGTGAAAGACAAGGAGAGAGGTTCAATTATGGCTTGAGATAAACTGAGATCAGATTTACTTGGCCAATGGGCTAGTGAAGACAACGACAGCGATCACTGATATTGGGGCTACGCACGCAATAGATTCAATGCTAAGGCGGTATGGTATACCTGGGGACATTCTGCCGTTGCTGGGCCCAGAGATGATCTTTTCAACGCAACAACACAGCCTGGATGGAGACCACACACTGTTACCAATTCGACCCTATGCTGGCATAGCTACACGTTCGTCAGACTTCCACTGAGAAACCATCCTGCCCTTGGAAGCCCGCTCCATCGTACCAGAATTGCAAGTGAGCTCGGCAGACATATACTATGCTTCCTATGGTCAAAGCACAATGTCTCTGAACACGCTTCCCAACGAACTCTTTCTGCAGGTGGAATCATATATTGAGACGCAAGCCGACCTCGCAGCATTCATTCGAACCAATCCCCGAACCTACAAATGGCTTGCCCCGTGTCTGTACCGGCGTGATGCAACCGCCGCCTTGCTATACGGGGTTCACAACAACCGCTATTCCACAGCCTGCAAGGCCCTTCAGGCTGGGGCTGACCGCAATGTCAAGTCTCGCGATAAAGAGCGGCCGGTGATCAGCCTCGCAGCTGAGAATGGATGCGTGGAAATAATCCGATCCGCGTGTCAATCCTGATCTTACCTTGCACCCCAGCGGCCAGACCTCCTTGATGCAGGCGATCATGAAAAACAACGAGAGAATGATGCAGCTCCTGCGCGATGCGGGCGCCAATCCGCGGATCATGACCCGGCTGTGGGCGACGCCGGCGATGTTCCTAGAGGCTCCTACACGGGAGGCGCGGCAGGAATTGATCGACAAGCATTACGGCTTTGGGGTGCGCCTGGCCGGGATTGGACGCTGGGATAGGCATCATATTGAAGTCTCTTAAATACCTTAAGAGGGAGCGTGGCATCGAAGGTCACATGATTTCTGGCAATCGCCACCTAGATCCAAGTACAGGTATCAATGTACCGTACAGCTGGTCTACCCGAGACTGCGGGGTGCGGCAGGGGCAGACCCGGAGATGAATGTCCTCTGATGCATGCCACCCTTTTCGGCTGCGTGACGGAGGATCTTGTCAAGCGGAGCTGTGAGGCCTGCGGAGCACCGGAGAAATGGCATGTGAAAGTGCTTGGTCTCACGCGAGCAGTCCCGCCTCTCCGCCGCGTGCTTCGGAATCAATAAAATGACTCACATCAGCCGCGCTCTTGGGCATGCGACAGCAATCTGGCGGGAGTCGGCTTGCTTCCCAAATCACACTACTAAAAGAGCAATTTCTTCGACAAACGCTCTATGCAATTAGTCCACACGGTTCAACGCGCTCCCACAATAGAATCGTAAGGCGCTGTAAGTAGTCAAGACCTTCCAAACCAAGAGAAATATATTCCAAATACTTTTAATCAACTATTTCCAAAATATGTACTCGAACTTCTAGGACCCATATGCACAAAGCTGCACTTTTACTCCACCGGGGTGAAGTATCGCTTGAACCGGTCAATCCGAGTCAACTTCAGCTCCACGATAACCGAGTGACAGCTCATCAGTAAACTGGGGAATCGCACAGTCCAGAAGTTCAAGTAACCTTCCGGTAGCCCACCAATGTGCGCCTTCAGGTGTTCGGGCATGTCGTTGTAGTGGTTGCGCTTGTTGCGCAGGGCCCGCAGAAGATCGAGAACCTTAGACCCAGTATATTTACGCTGCTTGCCCAGGTTTTCCTTGAAATCGCGGGGTAACAGGCGTAGAAAGTCCATGTCTGGACCCATCACACGCGAGGCGACGGACTCCAGACAAAGAAGGGCATCGGACGGAGGGTCACGTGGCTCGAACTCGAAATGATCCGAGACGTCGCACAGGAAGCTGAGGCGATCGGAGGGTGGCCAGAAGAACGGATGAGTCAGAACGGCGCTCGCGTCGGGTCTGGAACAGGATTAGATGTGCTAGCAGTGGAGAAAGAATCAAGGAACTGTGACTTACCGTTTGCGTGGGTCCAGGGCCAACATCGATTGGATCAGGTCTTCTGCCTCGAAGGCATATTCCCCTAGCCGCTGAAGCTCATCCAGATTGTAATTGCCTTTGACGATATTGGCCTCCCGCATGAATTTCCCATTCTTGTCAAACGGATGGCAGCCCCTGGTCAAGACGTAATAGAAGACGCAGCCCAAGGAGAAGATGTCGATAGCCCGGGTCGCTCGCCGGTTCGTTTGAGGATCGACTACAGCGGGCTCGGAAGATTCAGTGTGCTGAGACTCGGTGCTCATCATGGCCGGGGTCATGTCCTCATCCATCAACAGTTCCGGTGCTCGCCAGCCAGAGGTACCTGCCGCATGTGCGGTAGTCGCGCGGAATGAGCTTTGGTTATCCTCCAATTTCTTACACAAGCCAAAATCGGAGATAAGCAACCGCAGCGAGCCCAGGCCCGTGCGACCGCGAGGCATGGCGGCCAAGATGTTTTGCGGTTTTAGATCCCGATGAACGATCTTGAGAGAATGAAGGTACCGAACACCCGCGATGATCTGGCGCAAAACGTCGGGCATGTCCATGCCACCTTGAACCAACTGGGGAAAGTCACCGGGACGTTCGACCACATCCTGCAGCGAGGCTGGGCAGAGCTCCAGGGCAATGTAGAGGAACCCGGCTGCCTGTTCCCGACAGTAGTACCGAATGACATTACCGTGGTCATCACTTTCCTGCAACAGACTGACTTCATGCGATGCAATGTCGTAGAATTCGACCAACATACGCTTCACAGCTACATCTCGGCCATCGAATGATCCCCGGTAAACGACAGTGCCATGGCTTCCATGTCCTAGCACCACATCGGTGAAGACTTTCAGACGACCAATCTGGAGTACGCCATCCATTTGAACAATCTCGTTCGACACAGTCCGAGTCAGTTGGATGTCAGGTTCCAGGCGTGACTGGGGCTGGAAATTGTTCACTTCCTCGACAACGCGATCTGCCTGCTCATTGGCCTCGCCTTCAGTGGGCTTCTTGCCACGTCTGTGATTCTTTCCACCACGGCGTCCACGGCGCGCCTTTTTCTTCGGCTTCTCTCCGTCACCTTTTTCAGATTCCTGAAGGTTGAAGTCTTCGACATCGTCATCAGCGTCGGGTCCCTGAGATGGCTCGCGAATGCGTACTCGAGGAGTTGTATCAGGCGCCAAGGTGCTGACGGTTTTCTTGGGCTTGGGGGTCATATCACCGGCGGACTGTTGCTCTTCGGAGACGCTCACGTCAACCATGACCTCTGGTGACCCGGCTTCGTCAACCTCTCGCTTGATGTGAGGACCATCGATGACTGGCGTCGATGGGGTCGAGAGCGATGGCTGCCCATACGACACAATGATGTTCTTCAGATCCAACTTCTGTTTGGCCAGTTCCTGGATATGATGCGAATTGAACCAGATGAAGGTACCGAAGAACAGCAACAGAAGCGTGACGAAGATGTCGACCGCATTATCCCAGCCCTTGCGGATGATGGTACTGTGCCGAAGAGCAGGGGGCAAGGCTATTTCGGAGGAACTGTGGACGATCCCTCGAGGAGGGGTATCGTTGGAGAAGTCTGCAGACGAAGGCCCCGAGATGCTTGGGATGTGGCGGCGAATGACACGAGGAGCATGGAGGGAGTGTACGCCGGCCAAGGCATCCTGCTGCTGACTGGTGGTCAAACTCGTCAACGGCTGCCCGTGACGGAGATAATCTTTCTTGTAACATTGTGCCATCTTGGCTCTCCCAGTCACGAGGGGGTACGTCTCCTCGGACATCGCATACCAGCCACCAGCCTCTGTGCAATCGATAAAGACGCGTGAATCGCGATCATCAATCGATCCATAGTCAGGATCAGGGGGTTGTGAAGGTTGCGAGAGAAGAACTAGCGGCGTGGGCTGATCAGGCGAGTCACTGCCGACCGGACGAGCAACGTCGAAGACTCGGATGACGGGACTCGAGAAACGTTGAGTGTAGCGGGGGCGATCCATCTCAGAATGATCGAATCCCAAGACCACGCCATCATGCATACTGTAAATGAAGCTTTGGTCCATTGTGCTCACATACTGGCTCTGGAGGTCGATATCACGATTGTTGGCCGTCCACTCGGAGTATTTCAACGTGCAGATGGGATCCCCCGTCTCTGTGTTTTGTATCGCTACCGTGTATTCTATCCGACCAAGCACCAAGGTGCCAGAAGGGGTCTCGCACTCCTCTGCATCCCCATCCAGACCATCAACCTTTCGACATTCCTGGCCCGATGAGACCGGACCGCGGGAGCTGAACACCCGGAGAATAGTCCCCGATCGTGCATCGATGGTGTACAGAGTTGTCTCCTTCCGTGCCGTGTAAGTGACGGCGGGGTCGTCCCCGGAATAAGGAGTCTCATCCACAAGTTCCTTCACCGTCAACCCGAGCTTTTGTAATCCTGCATCCGGGCCAGGGCTGTAGATGTAGAGGCTACCGCCTTGACTCGGCTCCACTATCCAGATAAAATCGTCCTCCGGTTGTTGTCGATCAAAGCTCGAGCGGTTCGATCGATGGTAGATGCTTTCGACGGTAGGACTGCTGGGGACCTCCAAGGCCCACCGAGCCGCACCGGTTTTGCGGTCACGAGCGTGAATAGAACCGTCGACGGTCGCCAGAAGGACAAAGTCCTCAACCTTCCAGTCCTGCAAGGACCGCGCGTGAAGCTGCGGAGCCAGACCAGCGGAAGAGCTGCTGCTGACTTGGGCAGGAGGGGCTCGAACGGCGCGGCTAGAGCCCGCCAGAGCCATGGTTGCAAGGGCGCTCACATCGTTGGACTTCACATCCGAGACGTATGAAGGATTGCTTCCCGCTGAAGGTCCGTGGGATTGTTGCAGGACGGAAACGGTGGAAGGAAGGTCATATTGCTGTTGAGAATGTCGTTGCTGTTGTTGTTGTTGTTGCCACTGCTGCGGAGTAACAAGAACAGGAAGCAGGAGAAGTGCGACACTGGAAGGAAGGGTCGACTGGGCGCCAGGCAGCCGCCACCGCATGCTGAGAAACTCCTATGATGATAGGAAATGAGTTTGGGAAATTGTGGGGGGTGTTTGTGTAGACGAGAGTGGGAGGATTAGAAAGGATGTGGTGACACGGAGGGTGTCATGAGTCGAAGCTGGCCTCAAAGAGGAGGGAGAAGTGCAGAGAAAAGAGAAATAAGAATGGGATGAGATAGGGAAAAAGAAGAAGATGATGATGAGGAAGAAAGGGAGATTCAAAGACAGGGAGAAATGAGGAGGGGGAGAAGGATTATTGAAAAGAAGGAGGAGGAATTGAGTGGATGCATTGGATGACAGGGCGGGAAGGGGAGGGAGGGAATGCCGCAGTGAACTTCACTACAGTAACTTAGCTGCCGCCTGGGGGAGGGCACGTGATGCACAACTGCTTCCAAGTTGTTTGTTACGGCTGCGCTGACGCGTTTGCGCCATTTGCATTGCCTCCCAGCATCCCAGCCCCGACCGGCCCGTCAGCCCTAGAACGGCAGAAGTGTGGATTGGAATTGATGGAATGGATGGAATGGATGGGACCGGTGGAGGTGATTAGCCCGCCCGCTCCACGGTCCGGAAGATTGATACTCATTTGGGCTTAGAGTCTCTGTCTGATACCAAATCCGATTAAGGGGGCCAAAAGGAACCTGGTCTAGTGCTATCACGCCAACTACTTAGTAGTTACCTTACCTACACACACACACAGAACACAAGAGGCGCAGCGTCTAGGAGAAAAAAAAAAAAAAAAAAAAACTCGGTGCTTACCTTTCTACATGATTCCATCCGAAATTAAGTCAATATAATCAAGATAATGACAGTCTGAGAGACGTAAGACATTCCGTCCAGAGATTAGCCCTAGTTGCAGGGTCGTTCTTCATCCTTAAATTATTCT